TATTATGAATATAGATCCATTAAAATCTACATCACCTGATAATCAACTAACCATTACAAATAATACAATACCAATATTTTCAATTCGAAAAATTTATAAAAACTTAATTGTACTCTCTATATCATTTGTTCTTTTATTTACGGCTTATAGTGGTATGTCAACACTTCAATCAAGTTTAAATACAAAAAATAATGTTGGTGTTAATTCTCTAATTATAACTTATTCCTTTTTGATTGTAAGTAAATCAACTTTTATAACAATATAAAAACAAATTCTCGCTTGTATTAGTTTAGTTCTATAGTTTTTATTGGTATTTGTATGGATTTATTTGGTCTTAAATTTACGATGATAATTGCTACAATTGGTTATATATTTTATATAGCTGCTAATATAAAACCTTTACCAGTACTTATGTATATCAGTAAGATATGATCAACAAATAGTTCCTTTTTTATCGATATTGTGTTTCTTTTAGGTGCAGCTCTTGTTGGTTTATCTGCAGCTCCATTATGGACAGCAAGTGCTACATATCTTAATCAAATAGCTCGTTATCATTCGCAACATAAAAATCAAACTTATAATATATCAGTTAGTTTATTTTTTGGTATATTTTTTGCACTAACTGGTACATCTTCAATTTGGGGTAATCTGATATCCTATTTTGTACTTCATCAATCTAGTGTTGCACAAAAAATAAATTGTGGAATTCATTTTAACCCTACATTAGCTTCACCAACAAATACAACTCAGAATGTAGATGATACAGCAGTAAAACAATCCTTTTTTGTTTTAAATAAAAACAATCAATCACATATTTCTTTTTAAAGCGTTATATTCTTTGTGGAATATTTACTGGAATGGGTTTACTATCAATGTTACTCTTATTTTTAACACTTGATTCAATTGCATTAACTCAAAAGCGTACGAAAGATTAATATTATTTTTTAGTTCGATATTCTTTTTTTGTTTGTGTTTTTTAGAAACTATAAAACAATTATTAAAAAAAAGTCTTGAAGTTCTTTTATCATTAAAAGAATGGAAACATATTGATCAACTTTTTCTCATACCAATTACAATGTGGACAACAATTGAAACAGCTTTTTTATCAGCACAATTTACTCGAGTAATAAAATCTGTTTTATTAAAAATATTGAAAATTTAATTTTAATGGAAATTTTCGATCTTCAATCGATCATTATCAACCTTTTAACACAACCTGATGATACAAACACAAAAAGATTTTACACGAAAAAATATATGAAAAGGTGAAAAAGATCATATAATAATAATAAGTATAAATTATCTTATATGTAGTCGTATTAAACAAATTGAGTACTTATTTATTAGTTGTGAATTGCATTTGACAGCAATTCAATGGTTATGATTATGATGTTTTTTGTTTGAATGATGACTACATAATTTATACTTATTATTATTATATGATCTTTTTCACCTTTTCATATATTTTTTCGTGTAAAATCTTTTTGTGTTTGTATCATCAGGTTGTGTTAAAAGGTTGATAATGATCGATTGAAGATCGAAAATTTCCATTAAAATTAAATTTTCAAGATTAACTACATTACTTACATTTTCATTTAACTAATTTCAAATCTCAAGATTATTATTAATTTTCATAAAAATATTGAAATATTTCTTTTACATTAGGGTTTTATAACTTGTCTTGTTGGTATTCGGTATGTTGGACTTGTTATGGTATGTCATGGAATATTTCAATCATTGAGTAGTTATATCTTTGGACGTCTTGTTAAATATACAGGCCGAATATTTGTATTTATCATTGCTGCTTTAATTAATTATGCGATGATTATATTAATGTTTCTTTGGGAACCAAAATCAAGTCAAATGGTTTTATTATTTGTTATTGCTGGATTTTGGGGAATTGCAGATGCAATTTGGCAAACACAAGTTATTGGTATGAAAATATACTTATCATACATGAAAGTAATTGAATATAATATGTCTCTCTATTTTAGCTACTTATACAGTTTTTTATTCGGAAACTGATCCAAGTGCTTTAGCAAAGTATCGTTTATGGAAATCAGTTGGTTTTGTGATAAGTTTTAGTGTAACTTTTCATATATATATAAATTCAAATGAATAATTACATTATTTTGTTTTTTGCAGTATGCCAGTTATGTAACTATTCGAACTTCTCTTATTCTTCTTCTTATTTATTTATCTATAAGTATGCTATGTTATGCATTTGTTGAAATATATCGTCGTTGGAAAGAACATTCAAAAAAGAAATGTGCTATTACAAATACTACATAGAATGATAATTCCTTCTTTTCTTTTTCTAAAACAAATAAAATATATCTGTCATATATCAACGAGCAAATTATTATCTTTCATAAGAAAAAAAATACTGTATCTTTTCTTTTTTTCTGTATGATTTTTAACCAATGATTTATTTGAATATTTACATAAATCTTTTGTCAATCGAGGTTATTCATTTGATGAGAATAATCAAGTAAAAATACATTTTTTTTATTTACTAAAGGTAGTTTTAAGGATAATTCAGAAATGAATTTTTTAGTTAATGATGTTATTGTACAACATTTTTCAACATTAGTTACTTTTCATGGACAAACATTATAGGGTGGGTGTGTGTGTGACTGGGTAAAAGAAGATTACAATATCTACCACTCGCACCGACCAACCCTCGATCAAATGTGAGGAATCATTTGACTAATAAATAATTTATTCAGTGATACTACAAGAACAAACAAAATCCTACTTGTAAACGGAATGTTACCCTAATAATAGATCACGTCTCACTACTAAAGCCATCGATTGTGTAGCCAAACATAGACTCTTCTTTAATTTTTCTTAGTTAATGTCTAATGAAAGGAAAATAACCAACATTGTTTATAATTAGATGTTATGATGAATAATTAGTTTAGAACGAAAAGTGAAGAGATGTCCTCTTTACAAAGCATAATTCGACAACGTACGAAATCAAAGTGACTACTACAGTGCTAAATTGAAAGAAAAGTAACCTAAGGAATGAACTAGACATGGAATCTGAACCGAAACTTTTTGTGAAAAGATATGCTAGTTTATATTATCCAACGGTTAATTCGAAAATATATTCATGCAAAACGATATCTCATGACGGATCCATTGTCATCTTTGACTATTTTGTTAAAATTGAATATAGTATAAGATAATAATTTATATTAATTTCCATGCTGAAATAAAGTCGTGTGCGTATTTAAAGTTGTGATATTCATACTTTCTCTGCGTACAGGCTGTGAGTGGCTGTGGGCTGTGAGAAGCTAGACACCCACACCCTTCAGTATCATTCCCAGAAAAATCGTTTTTCTCGTTCTCACTCTCTTTCCTAGAAAAAAAACTTGTGTGTCTTCTGCGTTATATTATGGTTCCCGGAAAAGAACTTCTCTGTCTTCTCCGTTTTATTATGGTTTCCAGAAGAATCTTTTTGCTTGCATTACTTCATTTTCCTTCACGAACAAAAGTTGTTTTTCTTTGTTCTCACAAGCTCTTCCCTGGGAAAAAGCTATTCCCGCTCCAGTAAGAAGAAAAGTAAATTAATTCGTAGCTTGGCAATAGGTAGTAAGTCCGGTGTTGCTTTTTGTCTCTCAACGCACAAAGATAAAGATCGAAGTTTGTTTCGAGTATTTGTCAGTTCAATGGAGTTTTCAACTGCTTGGCAAAGTAAGGGTGAGAATCATAATTTCACCCTCGCGTACATCAATTATAGTATAAAGGAAATAATCTAGTTCAACACAGTCGGTATTTTAAAGGGTTTATGCTCAGGAAGTGTGACAACAATCTTGTGGATGTAGGTAAACACTAAAAAAAGATACCCTCACAACCCTCCTAGAGCAGTTATAGAAGGCTTCCAAAGCTTCTAAGCACTATCAATATACAATCCCCAAAAAGTTGGGGGCCACTGCCAGGTATCAGGGGTCAGCTTGAGGACGTGAGTGCAGATAAAGAGTAACGATTCTCACTCACCCGCACCCACTCTTTTTTTAATGTAATAAATGACAAATCATCAAGTGTAATAATATATTTCGATTTCTAATAGAAGTTTTCACACTGATTTGTTGGTAAATTCATTAGAATTATATTAAACAATGGATTATTTAAAGCAATAATTCTATATTTGATTGATTAGTCTTTTAAAAGATGCCCCCCACAGATCTAAGTGAGTGAAAAACAAGTAAAAAAAGAGTAGCCATTTGCTAATCGATACAATATATTCACAACCGTCTTTTTTAAACTAATCTTCGTTTTTTTCTTTCGAAAGGCTTTTCAGTACTCTCGCTGTATAAATAAAATTAATTTCTTCTTTTTACTCCATACTGGAGTGAAAGAATCGCTCCTTCATTACACAACGTTAGTTCTTGAAGTGAAAGAACGACACAAATTTATTGTAGAAAAAATTAAACAAAGACTTTTTTATTCTTTCTTTAAATGAGGAATTTTTTTTCTTTGCCAAGTATGAGAATAAATAGAAGAAGGAAGTAATGGGAAAAAATATTCCATTTGTTTCACCTTCTGCAACACAATATGCGTTTTCTAATAAATAGAAGTTTCCATCAGCGCCGACCGGCGTTTACATCATATCTTGATCTTTTTGAAGAGTAAATAGAAAAAATTTAAAATGTTGATTTCCATAGTGCAGCTGCTTTACGGACGAAGTAGTATGCAATTGCTGCCTAACTTTTCTCTGATGCAATATTGTTGAAAAAATTGTCTTTTTCTTTTCAACCAATGCGATTTTACTTTGAGGTATCAAATTTATAGAAAAAAAAAGTACATCACATCATTTCATTTAAAGCTGGAAGAAGAAGGGAGAAAGCCGTTTCAAACAACGTTTCCTTTGCGATATTAATTCAAATAATCAAATACTTGGTGAGTATTGTCATAAATAGAAATTAGGTGAAATGCAATACTGACTGGAATACAAAGCGTTTTCTCCTTGGTATACTTACACAGAAATTGAAAAGTCGAGAGAAACCCACAGACAATGTATTTTTTTAACTGGTTGTTGATTTCATCAATGGAACTTCTATCATTTTTCGAATGGTATTATTCTGATCTATCATATACACTTTGATATGAAATCAGAGATAACGATTTTAAACTGTTTTATAGCAGATAAATAACTTAATTAGAAAAATATCTTTCTATAGAAGAATGACGTATTCTCCAAAGACATTAGATCTAAAACATTAGTAAGTGATCGTTTCTGATAAAGTTGAAACTATTGAACTTTTCCCGCTTGATCTTGAACAGTTATTTCGAAGACAACCTGCGACTAGTGAAGAAATCGATTATGTACCTCATCGCCGAAAAAAACATCACCGAAGACGCAGATCGTCGAAACTCGCGCAAATCCAAACATCATCGAAAAGAAAGATTACCGAAATGAATATTATCGAAATAGACGTTATCGATCTATTGATTATCGAAATAGAGATCGCCGAAATTTTCTTATGGTCTATCTCACTAGTTGTCACTTTCTCGATCATTCGTTCTCGTCTTCATCGTCCTTTCATCTTTGAATATATATATATATATATATCGTCGAAAGTCTTAGTATTATGTGCCAGCATGAATAGCGAGTTGTTGTGTTGGATATGTGATTAGCGAAAAGCAATATCGCCGACTGGCACTTCGTTGAAAGTGAAATTCTAGAAATGATAGACTGTCGAAATATATATCGCCGAAGTTACAGATTATCGAAATACAGATCGCCGAAAATCGGCGATCTGCATTTCGACGAACTATTTTTCGGCGATGAGGTTAAAGACCGAAGAAATCTACTAAAAAACAGTCTTAATAAACGTGATCAATCAAGTTTTGATGGGTCTCAATAGATTATAAAAAAATACTACATGAAAAAAAGATACTAACCAGTTTCCGACATAAATCTTGAGAGAGTGCGTGTGGGTGTAGGTACAGGTGTACGCTGAATAGCATAATCCACACCCACACTCTCAGCTAGTCTTATTAGCACGAAAAAAGCCCCATACGAGACTGGAAAACAACACACTATCATTACTTCTTAGCAGTTTGATTTTTCAGTTCCCAAGAATAATGAGTTTTCCCTTTCCGCTTTCCGTTATGAATTTCTCCTCCGCTCGTCTATTTGTTGATTTCTACTTTTTCTTTTGTTGGGTGAGTTCTCCATCTATCGTCTTTTAATAGACGCTGCAGTTTGTTCTCTGTTTACACAATTCTACTAAGTTGGTTTGAAGCAGTAAAAGAAAAGAAAGACTGTTCTCGCTTCAGCGGAGAGAGATCAACGGTTGTTTCACCGGAGAAAGATCAACAGTTACTTTATCGAAGAAAGATCAACAGTAATTACCATTTTGTCACATCTACTTTATAAAAAGCAGCTCTACAGATAAGACAAACAGTACTCTTTCTAATGCGTTCAACTACCAGTAAGTAACTATAGCAGGAGACGGTAGCTGCGAATAGAATCTAAGATATAGAGTGAAGAATTAGGTGCCCGTTCCTTATAAAAATAAGTTCCTTAATAATCAAAATCTCTAGAACCGAGAGATGAATGCAAAGAAATCTGTATCCCAGACTAATGCTCAGTGCTTGAGTGTAGTGAAACATATTATAGACACGGAAGGTTTTCGATGAGTCAAAATCTGTAGTTAAGTATTTGAGACTCGCTGAACAAGAATCAGGACCCAGTCTACCCAATGGAAAATTTTAGGTTCGCGCGAAACCTACACTGTCTGGAGAAGCCAAATACTTCTGCGCCTAGAACAAAAGGTGTAGATCTTCAAACATGCCCACACTAACCAGGGAACCGTTCGAAGTCATTCACCGCTTTATTACTTATATGTTCAGCATATGGAGGACATCTCTAGACTAGCGTAGCACTAAAAGAATCCCGAGCCATGGCCTCTTTTTCCTGAAATAGCGTGGATGGGTGGGTGTGGGTGTGCATGAGGTGCGAGTGAAGAAGAGAGCTACACCCTCTTAGCGATATATGAGGCTTTGGTGGGTTTTCTATGGTGCCGCACCATTCCAATGTAGTCTTATTTTTCGAATTTGATATGAAGCTTTTCTCTCATAAAGACTTTAACTAGGCCAGCTTGTAAAAACAATTCCAGAGCTTTTCGGTGGAGCCTCTTCGCGGTATGAAGAGCCCAAGATATAGGCTCGTTCCCATAGATAGTATACACAATATGTACTTCTTGAAATCATCATACTTCGAAGAGGATCTGCCGAAAAGTTCTGAACTGTTTTTTGCAAGTTGGCCTAGCTAAAGTCTTTATGAGAGCAAAGTTTCATACCAAATTCGAAAAATAAGACCACATTGGAAAGGTATGGCACTATAGAAAATCCACCGAAGCCTCATATATCTTGGGGATGGATGGGTGTGGGTGTGTATGAAAAAATAACACCCATACCCACTCCACACTCATGTTTTCAACTCTTTTCTGTCTTCTTGTCTTTCATTTCTCTTCATTTGTAATAGAAAAATATATCATAAGTTTTATTGCTCTTCTTTGTTGAACAAAGAAAATAATGAATCTATATATCAGAAGCACGCGCCCAATTGCTCGCTACATTTACTACTCCACTCGTCTTCAATCAAGTTCTATGTCAGGTTTGTGTATTCGTTTCTAGTCGACTGCTTCTAACTTCATTTTTTTTGTTGACAGAACCATTCTTGACTAATTCCAACATAAAGGCCATTTCAGTAGTAGGAGCCTATACGCTTAGCATCGTAGGCATAATGTATACACTAAGTAAGGAACAAAACAGCCAACTTCAAGAGGAAATGAAGACTGAAAGCAGTCAACTTCGAGAGCAAATGAAAACTGAAAACACGCGAATTATTGAACAATTGACGAAGCTGGAAACGAATATGGATCGTGGAATTGAAAAATTGTTAAGCAAGGTGACTGAAACAAACGATCTTTGTAACAAGCAGAATGAACGCATTGCCCTTATGGAAGGAAAAGTCAAAGTCCTTAAACACTGAAGTAACTACAATTATTTTTTGATACAAGACTGTTATATATTTATATAATTAATGCCTACTGCTTTTGTTATTCTTCTAACTGCTTATAAGATGTCGGCAATTCAAAATTTAAGCAAAGCTTCTTTCATCATTTTTTTTTTATGCTTGGGTACACCTAAACGAGTTACCCTTAAAGATGCTGTTTTTAATTTTTTCAGAATGATTTTTACCCACAAACAATTTTAAAATACTATTATTCTTGAGTGTGGGTATGAGTGCGATTGTTTTGTTTTTATCTTACACTCGCACCCAAACCCACACCCTTCTTTTTATAATCAATTTGATATCAGATGTTGTTGTTATCTCATAAATTTATTTTTATTTTTCTCTTCATTCTTCATCGTGGACTGTAATAAATTATATCGTACAGCATTTTATTATTATTTTACCGTTAATAAAGCTAAAAGAAAGACTCACGCCTGTTGTGTGACAGCTCGGATAAACAGATAAATACGTTTAAATGGACGTCTGTAATGACTGTTAACTTGAAATATATTCGACTAATTTCTCCAAACGAGAGACCAAGCCAACAGGTTCGATTTGAATGCAGATATTATACTTTTCTTTTATCAATGTCAATCCATTCACATCGATTTTACACACTTCACTCAAACACTTGTATACACATTATCATAACTCACATTTCAACTCTGACATACCAAAACCTACATATATGTCCCAGGCAAAATTTGCTTTTCTTTCCGCGCGAAAATTTGAATTTTTTTTTGTTTTTTTGGTCGGATAAATTAGTAACAATTGGTAAGATCATTAACGTATCAATTGGTAAGATCATTAACGTATCAATTGGTAAGATCATTAACGTATCAATTGATTAAGAAAAACTTATTTTAAAATATTTTATTGGGTGGAAATCATAAAACTTACTCAATGGGATAAAAATAATCATTCTACCCACCTCACTGATGAAAAAAAATTTATGATCTTCTTTAAAACAGTTTTCGTTATATTTTGTTTTAAACATCTTCCGCACTCTACATTTTCCTAAAACTATATTCATTTTTTATTTAATACATCTTGCGAACTCTACATCTTCCAAGAACATATTCATTTTTGATTGAATACAACTTAAGAACTTTACAACTTTGAAAAATTTAAAATAATAATAACAACTGAATTATTTTTTGAAAATTTTAAAACCATATGATCATAGAATAGAATAATTTTAAAATGAAGTTTAATTTTGCCTAAACCTTAATTCTGTCTGACACATATACGTAGGGCGTGAATGTGGGTGTGGCTCAAGAGATGGAGTATTTCACTTCACCGATACCCACACCCTCTACTGTATTCATCATAATGAGAAGATATATTATTTCCATGTACATTAAAAAGACAAGCGTAGGAGTTAACTTTTAATAATATACTCAAATATACAATTACTTTCAGTGTAATAAGAAGAGTTATATTTCATTATTCAATTTTAGAATAATGCTTAAAACAGACAATTGTCTAAAGGTATACGTTTTCATACATAGAATATTTTTAATAATCAATAGTTTTACGTACTAACTATTTACGTCATTTTTTATTGAAATCTTAGTGATATCTCATTAATAGAATATTCTATTTCTCAAATTTTATCTTATCAGGTGTACAAATAATTAGTATTGTGATCTTCGGCTTTCTCTAATACATTTTCTCATTAAGAACTCATCACTATTTTTCATAATTATTTTTTCTATTATATTACAATCCGTAAGTCTATTATGTAGGTTAAAAAAATCGTCTTCATTTTATCTAAGATACATTATAAGAAAATGTTAGATATAACTCGAGTATCACAAATTCTTTTAAGTATGGATTCATACATGATTATTATACTTTATATCATCGGTAGTATAGGAGCTATTCTAAATATAATAACATTTCGCCAAAAACAAATTCGATCAAATCCATGTGCAACTTATTTCTTGTCAAGTTCAATTATTGATTTTTGTATAATGAATACATCTATATTACTAAATATTATTATTACATTTAATAAATCACTTTATGACCAAATATATTCAACACGAACTTGGTGTAAACTTGGAAATTACATTCTTTTACTTTTACCATGTTTATCATCAAGTTATATAGCATTTGCAACAATTGATCGATATTTTGCTAGTTCATTAAATCAAACTCTACGAAAATGTAGTAATTTAAAAGTTAGTCGTATGATAATATGTATAGTTTTGATTATATGGGTTTTATTTGGAATACATATTCCCATTGCGTATGATTATAGTCCAGAGGAAAATGAATGTACAGTTGAAACAAATTCAGCCACAACGTTTATTATCATCGATGGATTTTTCTTTTCATTATTTAATGGAGTTATTGTTCCATTTCTTTTATCTTTATTTGGTTTATTAATTTTTCTTAATATAAAAATAAGTCGTCGACGTGTTCATAGTCAACCAGAAAATAATCATCATCCAACATCAGTTATTGTCAATCGACAAAATACACATATGATAACAATGTTATTAGTACAAGTCTCTCTTACTATACTTTTAAATACTCCATATATCGTGATTTATTTATTAAGTTTCTACAGAAAACTACCAGCCGATGCGTTATCTGTTCTTCTTTATATTATATTCAGTTATATAGCACGATGGTTTTATTATATGAATTATTGTAAAACATTCTATATAAACACATTAGCAAGTGATCTATTTCGGAAAAGTCTCTATAAACAATTTACTCAATTTTTTCGTCATCATCGAATAATATAGAAGTATTCTATAATTAGTTTCTTTTTATAATCCGAAAATGATATTTGAGTTTGTAATTCAAATCTTGCTTCTATAATTAGTCGTCGTCATCTCTTTCTTGTTCTATAATCCCAGCTGTTGATTCATTTGTCTTGAAAATGTCAAACACAACAATAGACTTTACTTTTATTATTGCTCGTACATCTGAAATTCTTTTAATTATGGATTCATATATGATTATTATACTCTATATTATCGGTAGTATAGGAGCTATTCTAAATATATTTACATTTCGACAAAAACAAATTCGAACAAATCCATGTGCCACTTATTTCTTATCAAGTTCAATTATTGATTTGAATATAATGCATGCATTTGTTTTAATGCAAATCATAACAAGATACAATCCATAATTATCAAATCGTATTTATTCAACGCGAACTTGGTGTAAATTTGGAAATTACATTCTTTTACTTTTACCATGTTTATCATCGAGTTACATAACATTTGCAACAATTGATCGATACTTTGCTAGTTCATTAAATCCAATACTACGAAAATGTAGTAATTTAAAGGTGAGCCGTATGGTAGTTTGTGCAATTTTTATGATATGGGTTCTATTTGGATTACATATTCCAATAGCTTATGATTATAGTCCAGAGAAAAATGAATGCATAGTTCAAACAAATTCCGCTACAATTTCCATTATTTAATGGAGCGATAGTTCCATTTCTTTTATCTTTATTTGGTTTATTAATATTTCTTAATATAAAAATAAGTCGTCGACGTGTTCATAGTCAACCAGAAAATAATCATCATCCAACATCAACTGTTGTCAATCGACAAAATACACATATGATAACAATGTTATTAGTACAAGTATCCCTTACTATTCTTTTAAATACTCCATATATCGTCATTTATCTATTTGGTTTCTTTAGTAGATTATCATATAATTCATTATCTTTTCTTCTTTATATTATATTCAGTTATGTCGCACGATGGTTTTATTATATGAATTACTGTAAAACATTCTATCTAAATACATTAACAAGTGAATTCTTTCGACATAGTCTTCGAACACAATGTATTAATTTCATTCATCATCATCAAATTTCTATTATTTCTCGACCATTATTTCTCATAAACACAAATACAAGATAGAATGACTAGTAAACTTTTCTTTTTTTCTCATTAAAATTTAATAAATATTAATAGCTCATTATTTTATCAGACAATGTCTATATCTATAATTAGTTATAATTCGCACCCAAGTCATATTTTTTATCATAGATTATTATATTAGATTTCATTTATTTTTAGAAAGAAAAATAAAAGTTAATGAAGTACTGGTGATCTTATGAGATATTTAAGAGTTTTTGTTGATTTTGATTTTGGACTTTTAGCAAAATCTCGACATGCTTCAATACTTGATTTTAATTTTGGATCTTTAAAATCATAGGTAATAATATTTAAATGAGGAAAATTAAATGTTAATAAATCTTTTAATTTATTTAAAAGTTTTAAATCAGGTGCATATGTACCTGAACCATTATCAATGACTAATTCCCATTGATTCCAATCAAATGCTTCATTTGGATCATATTGATTCCAACCACCTATGGGTCTTGGATGAAATTCACCAGCATAATAAACTGTTTGTGAACAATTCGCATGTAATGCATGTTTAGATACAAAATCAACAAAAAATGAAGCACCTGTTTCACTAAAACGCCATGTATAATCTTCAATAATATATGTATAAACACATGGCTTTATATTATATGTATTTGTATCTATTAATAAATTCCATAGATCTTTATTAGAGTTTAATAAACCAAATTCATTTGTTGTATGTTTAGCATATAGAACTCGATGAGCTTGTTTAATAACAGATTGAACTGCATGTGACATAGGACCTTCAAATATTGATTTAGCTGCTTGATAGGATGAATTATATTTTTGTTTTTTATGTTTATCGAAATAAATATCGATACGTTTTAAATAGATTTCCCATGTAGAATAAAGTCGTTCATCATTGATTTTGGTTAAACGACCTGCAGTTAAAGAACTATGACGAGAAAAACGAACGGGACCATCGAACATATAAGGACGTAGATTTAATGTATCGGAAGAACGTGGAATTGATATTATAGTTAATTCAAATACTCCTCGTTTCATATTTCCAGGACCATATATTGTTATGAATTCATTTTCTATTGGTTGAAGATCTATTTGAAAATTACCAATATAATCATCATAGATTGTATCATCATCTTTATCATAAACTGTAACAAAAAGTTTGCCTGTTGATGGAACATTTCGTACTATCCATTCTTCATTCCAAATAGGATTTAATGTGTTAACAGTACAAGATGAACTATAAGATAATAGTTAAATAAAATTTTGGAGAAAATAAAAATTTATATACATAAATTCAATTTGTCCATCATCAATTTGTGCTCGAAAATAAGGATCAGCAGTTCCAATAAGATCCATTTTTGGTAAATTCTAAATAATATTTAAATAACAGAAATATAATCATAGATGAATTAATATACTTGAGCTCCATGAAATTTAATATGAAAATCACAATAGATTATTTCCTTGAATTTATTATTAATTGTTGGAGGACAGATTAATGTTCGTTCTATGCCAGACGAGATTGAATATGCCATTTTCTCTATATATTCCTAAAGTAAAAAAACAAAAACAATTCTTTTTTTATATTTATAAGTAAAACTCTTTTTTTTAATCTAAAATATTTCAAAAAGACATACGTTTACTTAATCATGGATTACTTATGCATGTTTTTGTCTTATTTAATCTTCCATTTTCTATTAATAAAATTACTTTAAAAAAATTGAATTTTATTATAAACGAGACAACATTTTGACTAACAGATAAAATATCTTTCATAGTTTTGAAGACAAAACAAATATTTGCTGAATACTAACATTAACCACGAGTAGTATTCTTTTTTTTCAGTACTGTTTATCTTTTCAAAAATGATAAGACAACAAACTTTTTTTTCTTTTTGTTTTTATAAAATCTATGAATATTAATGCATTAAATCAGATTTAAATCGTAAATTAGATGATGTATTTGATTTTTTTGGAAAATAATGAAATGTTAACAGCTTTAGATTTATTAGACGCATTTGATTATTTGAATTCGGAAGATCCGCAAAATCTCAGGTGCTATCAAACATAAATCACCAAAAAAAATTAGTACTAATTAGGGTGTGTGTCTAAACTATCCCGTATCTACTCCCTCAAGATGCGTCTTTAACACACCATATTCGCACCAACTCTACTGAGAAAAATCTTTTTATTTTGATATGATAAATAGTCTTTAATCAAATCAATACCAACAAGAACCTTGTTCTCATTATTAATTGCTGAATGAAAGAATATGAACAAGACTGCAAAATTTATTCGAAAGTATAATTCACTCCAGAGAGATTTATGTTGTCACGATTATTTTTTATTTTCTATATAATTCAACAACATGACACTCAGTTGATTGTTTCTTTTTTCATAGCAACTGTTCGAAGGCGTATAAGAAACAATGATTATAAGTTTAATTATTGATTGCATGGCTTAATCATATTGATAATATCATATGTATATGTTATGAGAGTCTGGTATGTAATATTTGAAAATAAGACACACATTTCATTGACGAAATCGTCCTTGCCAGTTTCTTAATGTTTCTTTTAGTGTTTTTCTGTATAATTCTGATGGAACGACAAATACAACAAAGACAAGTATAGATGGAGTGAATGAAATGAAATAAGCACAAAGATATAACCAAGGTTTATCAGACACCTTCACACATCCAGATAATAATGAAATGATCAAACGCGGTATGGATAGTATAAGTAGAATTGCTGGACTAATCACTAATTGTTTATGTTCACGTAATTGTTCACGAATATGTGTGATGTAATTTTGGTTCGTCTGAGCTAATGATCGTTGTCGAGCAGTTCCAAAAATGATGAATGAAGCAGAAAAGAGATTAGCAATAAATGGACCAATAAGATGAACGAAAAGAATGGCTGTATTGTAATCTTGAACAGCACGGGAATACTGAATTACACACCATCTATGTATTTCTTTTATCGTTTCATACCCGTCGCCCTTCACTTTATATTCGAAAACATTGCGATGTAAAGGTTCATGAATGATTGTAGCTGTGATACAAAATGGTAAGATAAATATAATCCATCGAGCAAGACGTTTACTCTTTTGTTTATTAAAATGAACACCTTGATAAACATGAATTGCTCGTTCAATAGCAACACAAGCATTAAGCCATGTATCAAAATAAAGAAAAAGTTTGAGAAGAGGTTCAATAGAAATACATCCAATTCGACGAATAGATAAATTAATGGATGAATTCATTTGAGTGAGAAGAATAAACCAAAAATTGATTGTAAACATAGAAATTGTGAGAAGAGAAGTTATTGAAGATGCTAAAAGATATATTCCACATCCAACTTTTCGTAAATTTGCATTTTGAAATGTTAAAAGTGATAAAATACTACTGATTAAACCCATAAAAAATATAATCATTGTTAAAGCAACACTCATTTTTACTAATAGCGGTTGCTGCTTCAATATCACATTTCGATTAATTTCATAACGTAAAATATCATCAATAGTTATGCCAATACCTTTAGTTTGAACATTACATGAACCACCAATAATACATTTGTCAGGATTTACTAAAAAAATAAAACAACGATTTAAACTTTGGTCTACTAGAGTTAAATAACTATTTTGTTCGATGCGTAAAAATAAGTTTGATAAAGATATTTAGATCATTTATGATTAGAAATTCATGAAAGTAGATCTTTGATCAGTTACAATAAAATATATGAAATGTCAAGTAAAGCTCTATTAGAACAAGTGAAGTTTTATGATTAATGTGCTTTTTTTGTATCAAAGATCTCTGACAAATCATTCATTCATCACTTTGAAGGAAATATTTGCCAATTTTTGATACGACATAAAGAAATTTGACTCAGCAGTGGATAATAAGAAAACTAATTTTCATTGTTAACATGTGTTTTCACAAGACAAGTATCATATTATAATCATAACAATTAAAATAAATCAATCAATATATATTTAGTCTGGCATTATATCAATATTGCAGGGAGACTGAAAGTTATTCAAAAATTCTTTGTCTTACTAGAAAACTGTAACAAGTCAACGAACTAAACAAAGGATGAAAGTTCGATAGTGAACTGACAGCAATGCCTCAATCGATGAGTATTCAATAGTTGTATCTGATGAAGAGCTTTTTCTTTTTCAATCTTCAGAACTCATGCAATGGAGGATCGGTTGTCTACATACATTTATCGTTTTCATCGACTTATCTATATCGTGTGGTTTGTTGCTGAGAATCAAAATAATTTAATTTTCTAATTAAGTTGCTATAAGAAGTAATATTTAACAAAAGATTCATTTATTCTATACTATAATAGTAAAAGATGAATACAGAAACGAATGAAATTCTATGAAAAAATAGTGATTTATTGTGAAATGCTCCTATTCTTAGTTATATGTAGTTTCACGTATTTTTTGATTATTACAATGGGTAATCATTAATAATAAAGGTTATTTCATCAATGTTTCTGTATTATCTATCCTTATTAACTTGATATATCCTCCATAACAACAAATATACAAAATAAAGAAAGTATATTCGAAACACTATATAGTTAAATATTATTTCGAATGGAATCAATGTTATATGAGAATTAGTGAATTTGAAGATATGCTATTAAGCAAATTAATAGATTATCCCCCGAATTTCACTGATAAAAAGATCTAATTCAAAGTTAATGCGGAACAGTTTGAAAAAAGCATCATAAAAATAGAAATAGAAATAACCAGATATTATGACCAACTACATCGAACACAGTCACTGAAATTTCCTTTTTTATAATCAATATTTTCACAACATATTTTTGGATTTGCATCATATTAGCAGTATCAATGCCGAATCATCATGAAACGATCTTTTGAAAGATTATTCTCTAACTTCCCAAAATATTTCCATAACAACATAAAAATGTAGAATATACACTGACTTCGTCCGTTCTTCTTTGGTTTCAAACTTCTGTACTAATCAAGCTTTGGAGATCAAGGAGGCTGTAGACAATCAATTTATGCCACAAATTTGACGAAGACATCTGAGTTTTGTCAAAATTTCAAGAAATTTTTACTGAAACATTCAGATTCTCTTGATAAACTTAGATAAAAACCTGAATTTTGAGTTCTTACGTATTACCAGTTATCCGACAAGATGCATAATGAAAACACTCTTTGTCGTTCAAAACTTATCGCAAGTGCATAGTCTAAGTGTTTTTTGTTTCGGGATCCTCCAGAAGATCATACAAAGACACTGTATGATAAAACTTTAGGCTTTCTGCCAATTTCAATCCCCTTTCTGTCCTAGGAAACAATGGGGAAACATGACGCTAACTATGAGAAAAAAGTATGAATACTTACTAATACGTTTGATACGGGTGTTTGCTGGCCCAGACACAATGACTGAAAATGATCCTGTCGCATCTTTAGAAAGTGTTGTTACGACCAATATGTATCTAACATTGACTATCAGGCTCACGGGCAGTCGAAAATGCTTATTGCTGCATCCCAAAACATTCTGCAAGATTAAATTTACAGATGGATTGAATGGATCGAAAATGTCCTTGTAGATATATCCGTATCTAATGACAGTACTGTTACTTGCAATCGTATAGAGTCCATTGGTGATTACGGCGATTTGTATAGTTTCATAGTAATAGTTTGATTTCTCACAAGAATGTCCATGATACATTTGATGATTCGCTGTTAGTTCCGATGAATACATAGACTGGACAACTGATGAAGTATCTGGTAAAAAAAACACAAATCGATCAGTATTCTATTCATAACATATTCAGATGAATTTAAAAACTCTTTCAATGTCGTTTGCCTTTCAAATATACATCTATAGAGTGAAGATTTGATGGCAAAGATCTATCTAATACGTTCAGCCAACGTTCGTCGAGAAAACACTAAGAAACCATAATGTTTGTTTAATAATCATTTCGGCAGAGAAAGTTGATTATATTGCTCTAATTTTGTTTATTTCAAGAGAATCTATGGATATTGTAGTAATGGTATTTCTGATGAGATAAATGAAGAAAATGTTGAAAAAACGATTTTGTATCGAAATTTAATGAAGAAACTGTAACAAAAGATATTATAGATAGTTGTCTCATTAAAATTCCATCTTTCGAGAATATCTGTAGCACTTAATCAAAGTTTTGTTGAATTTGTATCAAGAAATACCTTACTTTAAAACGATATATTGCACCCAGCCAATCGTTGTTTTAATTTTATAAGAAATTCCTATTTATTCCGCTAACAACTTATCTCTGTCGGGTGTACTCAATGTTGGGACTGAGAATTAGTTTTGGGTATTCTAAAAGGATGAACATAGGTGTGAGTGCGGGTGTAGGTGTTATTCGAGTGTCACATCCACACTCACCTACACTCTTATTTTTCTTGATTAAAATTGTGAATTTTGCATATTTTTTAACTCGCAAATCTATGAGAAAATTTTTTACAAAAACAATAAATAAAACGATTTGTTTGTGTGAAAATATTGAATTAAAATTTATCAACAACGTTGAATGTCTTATTTTGAAAATATTTAGGGAGGAAATAAGAAAAGATGCGTATATTTAAACAAGTAATGTTTTTTATTCGTAAGTTTATATCATCGCAATGTTTTCCAAACATTTTCTAGGTATTGTGAAAACATCGTCTTAACGAGTTTTGTTTTTATTACGATGTCATTAGTTAAACATCTTGACACGGTTAAAGCTATTTTAAAAAAAACCTAGTCAGATAAATTTGTGTTTAGTATAAATAAAAAAATATTTCAATTGAAATAAACATTTTACTGCGGCGGAACAGAAGCGCGAAGAATAACTTTCATTCTTCTCTGTGAGATCAATCATTTCGCGTAAAGATTTGATGTTACCCACACGTATTGATTTCGAAAAGTGATGAAAACAGAATTTTGTTTATGATTTCTTGATTATTTTCGTACAAGTTAGTTAAATCCTTATTTTATTTATAAAAAGAATTTGTCTTGTCAATTGTGAAATATTCTATCATATCGAAATCATGAAAAAAGTACCATTTTCGATTCTGTTTCAACTATTTTCGTTCTTCTCAATATCAAAGATCAAATCTAACACTAAATAAAAATGTCCCATTTACTTAATTTTTACTTATTACATAAATCTTCTATTTGTCTCACAAGTAACATCTATTGTAGGATCAAAGAGGAAAAAGACGAATATCTATTTTTTTCGACTATTTTATAATGTCGAATGCTGTCTGATAACAGTTACTTAAGCGTAATTTCTTTCCTATAAGTATCACTATGTGTAACATTCGATAGAAGGCTGATCTCACGAAGGACTCTCAAGCTTAATCATTCAGTTTCGGATATATATTAGCTAAGAACATACTAGAGAGTTACTACAACTGATGTTTATTACTTTATGATCATCATACCAATGCATCGATGACATGAGACAAACGACCGTTAATAATTTGTTCAAGATTATTTTATATATGATGATATCAAAACCCATAGAGAGTATTTCAATAGCACATGTCGATCACTTTTAAATTACTCATAACAGTTCTTTCTACCAGACAGATAAGGAACTCTAACTATCAGCACTTGTTGTATTTTCACTCTTTTGGATGCGAGGGTAAACGATAACTGCGAATCTATGGTAACATTGCTGTTATTTATTCAAATCCACATAATCTCAATAGTTTAAAAGTTTCCGTTAAGCAATGAAATATCGATAAATTGTTGTAATTTAGATCTTATAATTACATTTTTCGGTTTACTTCTTCATGTTCGTTCGAGTATTTCTGTGAAATGATGTTTATCATGTGAAAATTCTTTTTTGAAATAACGATCTCTATTCAATAGAAAAATTTTCTAGATTTGTGATGAATACAGAATGAAAAATAAGTATACGTAGACTTTCTATGCTTTGTATTTCTGCGCCGATATTTACAAAGGTTGTTATAGACACTCACTTAGACGTTCGAAGGTGACATTATTGATGCCAGACATAATAATGGAGAAATTTCCTGTTACATTTGGACTATATGTTGTCACAACCAGTATATTTGCAGCGGTAGACTGAAGAAAAATTCTGAATCCGGACTTATCTGTACTCAAACTGGTACCATTCACCACAATTACATTTTTAAGTGAATCAGATGGATAAAAATTGTCTGTATACATGTAGCCATATGTATCGATAGTGCTGTCGCTACTAAGACTATAATAACGACTTTCATTGACATTCATTTGTATGGCTTCATAATAGTAGTTTGGAAGATCACAACCAGTAGGAGAGTATGTTGGATGATTTTTTGTTAACATTGATGAATACACAGATTGAACACTCGATGAATTATCTATTTAACAAAAAAAATCAATCAAAATTTATAAAATATCAAATAAATTTCAATAGTTTTCAATATACTTTTTCTTTTTGTATATGTTCCTTATGTGAATAATCATTATTATTTACAAACTCTTTTTGTCGATGAAACAAAAGAGAACATATGATTGTTCAATATCACCTCTATTCGAGACTATTCTGTGTATTTTCTCTCTCTGCATCATATTAAAATATAATATAAATGTCTAAGTAGTACAGACTTTGGCAAAATCAAGGGAAGACATGTTCACATGATTATATGATATTGAAATTCAATAAACAACTTCGTTCAACCTTAACACACAGAATACATCATGAGTGTGGGTGTGGGTGAACTGGCTGAAATATGAATATGCTACCCATCGCCCATACAGTCATCTATTCCTCACACTCACACTCCCTCAATCAACAGAGTATTTGTTTTTCTTTCAAATCGGACAATAAAACTCCCAGTTATTTATTATTCAGTCATAGATTATTTTCTAATCAAAAAATACTCTTTAACTACCAGATAAATGGAAATTCTAATTAATTAATAAAATTTCAAATGATCTAATTGTGAGAATTTCGATAGAGAAAATTGTTTGTTCTCTTTACAAATTAGCGGAATTCAAACATCTGAATCTCGACAGAATCATCTTTTTTCAATATAATTGATCTATGAATGTTAAATTATTTTAAATATTCGACAGAAATCACATTAGAGATTATTATTTGGAGAAAAATATAAGTAAAAGAGCTCTCATTAACCACAAAGCACAAGAAAAAGGATATTGTCTTTCACTTTGAGTTGTATTTTGCAAAGTTGTATCGATCACATTGAGAGTTGTTTTAAAAAATAAGTCGAACTACTTTTCATCTATGACATGAGAGATATAAATACTCAAAAAGAAGAAGATACGAACTGTTGTTTTCAATTGAACTTTCTCACAAATGTTGTTGATATTTTCTAAAGTCTTTGGATTTGTTTTTCTGATATAATTGAAGAAATATTCGTTTATTATTTTTCTTCTTAAAAATTCTTTGAAAATCTTCAATATTCCTGATGAGAAAATAATAAACATTCCGAAAGAATAAAAAATTTAATTTTATCTGAATAATCTTCGTATAAAACAAAAATTTCAATCCATCGTAACTTTATATAATTTTATTGCCTCATGAAAAATCAATAAAAATATCTTTGAAGAGATGAAAACTTTCGCAATTAATTTTCATTTCTATTTCAACGTTTCGGAGATAAATAAATGAAATTCTTTCTAAGTCTTCATTGAATTCAACGAATGAAGAAATTTATCGCTTTATTCCTACCAAACTTCAATGGAAAACAGATCTGTTTTTTGGATTAAAGTTATTTATTTCTTCGAGAAAAATTTACTTGATTTTCGTCATCAACATTTCAAATGATTTTTAGGTTAAAAAAATTCATTCATTTTGAAAATCTCAAATATAAGTTTCATTGAATAAAACAAAAAAGATGAAGAAGAATATTCTCGTTAATCTTACTTCAGGAGGAAATTAAGATTTTTAAATGAATCTTGCTTCGATTCAATTATTTTAAACTTACCACAAGAATTTAATAACAAATCAAATTTTTGAATGTTACTAGTGTATGCATCAGTAATAAATATATTTCCATAACTATCGAAACTAAGAGTTGCTGGATATCCTAATTCATGGGATTGCGATCCTGGTCCACCACATCCAATTATACATTGAATATCAGTTGATCCTGATCGAAGTATACGATGATTGAATCGATCGACAATAAAAAGATATTTATCAGCATCTAATACAACTCCAGATGGACCTTTGAGTGAAATAATGTTATTTGATGATCCTTTTCCAACTATTGTTGTTCCATTTAATTCTCCAGATTTAAATAGCTGAATTCGATGATTAGCAGCATCTGCTACATATAAATCAAAGTTTATATCAACAAAGATTCCCTTAGGATAATTAAGTTGATTCGAAGCAGAACCGCTAATACCCGATCCCGCTGCAGTTGTTGATATCATTTCACTATCATTTAACGATTTTTTCACAATTACATGATGGTTACACATTGAACAATATAAAGTATTATTAATATCGATAAAGAGACCATAACATGATGAATTAACATTCATGACATTAACAAAAATATTTGTATTTGATATCCATTTATCAACTCGGCCATTCCCGTCACCATTATCATAATAAATATCACCATTATTTGTAACAAAGATGGAATTTGACTCAATAAAATTGATAGAAATAGTTTTGTTTGGATTGATACTATTGTTAGTCCAGATTAAGATTTGTTTCTTCTGACGATTAACTGTATAAATTATGTTGTTTGTATTGATAAAAAGGACTAAAGGTATATTCCCAATAGTTGTTTCATTAGCAAAAGTAATTCCAAAAGGATTCCAAGCTGGTGTTGAACAAAACTTTGGTTGATTAAATGAGAACGCTAAAATGAAAAGTTTCAGATAAAAATTTTCTCGAAATAATTTGTCTCTTCAAACAAATACTTTTCTGAAAAAATAAACAATTCAAAAATAGTTTTAATGATTTTTCTTTAAAGGAAAATTCCAAATAAGTTCATTTGTATGACTATTAATAATTATTTGAACACATATTGTTCGTTAAGTGTTCCATTTAATTAAAATAAGAAAATTGTTTTAAAAAACAAAACAAACACATTTTAAAATAATTCATTTACAAAATATTGTCAATTCTTAATTAACATTCTTATAGAATATTTTATTACATTCTCTATTTTCATCCTTGTTTAAATCGAATCAATTGATTATCGATCAGAAAAATTCAAGAGAATAACGTTTGATTATTCTCTTGGAAATCAATTATTAATTAATATAAATCTTATAGCAAATTTTACAATAAGTTTATGAATAAAATCCACTTTTCTTATTTAATATCAATTCAACATATAATCATCTATATTTACCACACTACCTTTAATCTAAATATTTGTGTATCTCTATACTAATCACTATGTCTTTTTTGAGAGTGTGGGTACGAATAAAATAGTATATCCACACCCACAACCACGCTCTCAAGATCATTTTAAATTAAATACAATAATAAGACATACTCAATAAATAAAAATAATCATCATTACCTGATATTTGATTGATCATAACCAACAGCAACATGATGAAAATGTTGAAATTGTTCTTCGTTATCATATAAAACAACATTTTTTGTTTTATGTTCACCAATGGTAAAGAAAAGTTAAATTGTAGTAATCGACTAGACAATCAATATTCTTGCTCAAGAAAAACAAGTGAAACTATTTCTTCATTTCTTTATTCTTTATGTATATCTATTTTTTTCTCTTCTCATGATCAACAAATATCATCTAGAAAAACAATGACATATTTCGAGAGATAATTCTTTATTGATAATTTTGATTGTTACTGTTTAAGTTTAATTAATAACTCTTCAAACGATTTGATTTTGAATCTGATAGAATTTTATTTTGAAAAAGAAAACATCATTATAATTTCAGTTATTTAATAATGAATTTTATTTGAAAATATCTTTTTTTTAGATAAAAGACGTGATAAAAAAAACAATAATTCTGGTTAGACATTGTGTCAATATTCATACGTGATTAAAATTACAATAAAATATCAATTTCTATGATAAATAGATGATTGACGTCAGTAAAATATATTCTCTAAATAATCCATTTTGTCAGGACTTTATTTTATCACGTTCTTTTATGATATTTTTGTTCAACGAACGTCATCAAATTGTTACCAATGAGATATTTTTTAAATAATATTTATTTTTTCTGATTAAATATGACTAAAAGAGTTTTTCAAATTTTATTTGTTACATTATTCAAGTAAAGACAACTGTTTGTTTCATTAATATTACAAAAAAGATACAAATAATTTCCAGTAGATATTTAAGAACGATTTTATAGATATTAGAGATATTTATTCATCATAACAGAAGGCTGTGTTTTTCTGTAAGAATTGTTAAAGTATATAAATTAATATGAAGTTTCAATGTTTATTCAATAGTTTAATACTAATGAATAATGTTCAAAGTATAAGTAATATCTGCAATATTTACACATAAGAGATGATGAATATGACAGTAGACAAATAAAGGAATTATTTCTTTCTAACTGAAAGTCTTGAATAAATATTCTTTTTCTATTTGATTGTTTCAGTGCGGAAAGAATAATATTTTTATGTTAAATAATAGATGATAACAGTAGCTTCATGATGCATTCCTATGAGTATTCAAACGTTATCCAATCGGCATTGAGTATCATAGAATTCGAATCAAGTTAGTGTTGATTGAATATGAATTACAACAAGTGAGGTTAGTTGTGCATTGAAGGCAATATCCATACCCACACCCATCGTTTTACTGAATTAGATATTAGTACTGAAATATTTCGATTATTATTGTGATGTAGTGACTTTCGTTATTGGAACTTTCCTATATTATTATATTCTTTTGCTTCAGATTTTTTCAATGTACAACATAAGATATTATCGATAGAGGCCACTAAGATTAATAATAAAATTAGTTCCGTTCTATCGTTGGTTGCAATGCTTACTATTCACGAGTTAATGGTAAAGCGCATGTTTCATGGTAACTGTTGATAGCTGGCGTAATGACTCACATCGAAAGGAAGAAATATTATACAGTACTAAAATAATTGTAAATGCGAGAGAAAAAGAATGCAAATCTCATGTTTCATTCTATATTGCGTCTATGAAAGCACGTTGCTCTCATAAAATTGTTTTTTAGGTTCTATATTGTTAATTGAAATTTAACAATGTATTTTTTTCGTTTATTTAGCCGAATTGGATAACACTTATTTCAATACATGATTAGAGATTTTTATTACCCTATAATTTAATTAGTTTTTTTATTGGTGAAGTCGAAACATTGTTCTCTAAAGAAATAATTACATACATAAAATCTCGTCATGATGATGCACACATAGATTTGTTTATTTTAGATTACGTTATGAAGCGTTTTTTTGGTAGAACTGGCCAAACAACTGATGATAATAGTTCTACAAAACCAAAAGAAGCGATAGTTAATGCACCGAATATTACCTGGAGTCACACATGGTCATTTAATGAATCACGTGATGCCTTATCAGAATCATTTTTTGCTAATATTCCTAATGAAATTCTATTGCGCTTATTTCAACTATTTTCTGTACGCGATTTGTGTAGTATTTCATCGGTTTGTCGATTGTTCAAAATGATCGCCGATCAAGATGAAATCTGGAAATTCAAATACGATAGTAAGTGTGATTTATGTCTTTTTATTATATACATATATATTGAATAGCATCAACAAAAATATATTCAAAATCTTGTAAACAAATTTATATGGATTGGATGTGCGAAAAATATCTTCGTAATATCGAACTACGGAGAAGAAAGCACCCATATAGGAGGACTGCATGTGTTCGATGTGCGCTACCTTCAAAGCCTGTTCGACCGTCTAAGGAACAAAGATTCGAATCCATTGCTGGATTCACTGAGCATCCGAACTCATCAGCAGATATGTAAGAATTTAAATATTAATTTGCATTAAACTAAAAATGATTTTCATATAGTTTAGAAATTGAGAATAGAATAAACGAATGATAAAGTGCTTTTTATCGTTTTAGGACTATCGAACTGTCGGTGAATATTGATCCTATAGCTCATGAACTAGTACAACTACTTGAAAAAGCATCAAAATTTCAAGAGCAATGGCAGCAAGCTCCTATTTTAAAACAAATGATAACAAGATACTATCGTTTTATGCGATTGAAAGCATCTCATCCAACAAATATTCTATTGATTCCTACTATGGATATTGAAATTGTCTGGCAGACTCATTTACTTCGGCCTGAAATGTATCAAGCTGATTGTCTTCGTTTGTTTCGTCGCATAATTGATCATTCATTACTAATCACTAATATTCAGAAAATGTTGAAAGACCAGGCATTTCAAGATACTTGCCAACTATATGAAAAAACATATGGCGAACAATACTGTTCATTATCACCAGATAATGATAAACAAGAAAGTGTATCAAATATGAATCGCCGCTCTAAGCTGACCTATGCTTATTGGGATAACACACAATGCAAATTTTCAACGCAACCACCGAAGGATTACGAGAATCGTTTTTCATTTACTGAATCTGATATTATTCTAGATATGAGTTGGCTTGATTCATGCAAACAGTTTATGCGTAACGCCCTGGAAAAAATTTCTGGTGAAGCTTATGATCCTGATGAATGTTTTGATATTGATCTTGGTGAAGGGGCAATGGAAAGATTAAAAAAATCGTACGAACGATTTTTATATATGGCAGCCAAATATCCACTAGAGAAAAGCAATGGTTTCGTGCCTCCTACTTATGCGGTAAATCCTTATTGATGATATTAAAAAATAATTACGATAATGTACTTATTAACATATTTTAGATTGACATTATTTGGCACTCTCATATGCAAGAACCATTGAATTATAGAGCTGATTGCATTCGTTTTGTTGGATATGTTGTCAATCATGCGCCATGGCCGATGATTGAAGACGATATCATGAAAAAAACAAGTGATCGATCAGACGATATGTGGAAAAAAGAATTTCAACCGGATATCGAAACTGATCATCTCTATAATACCATTGATTGTGACGCTACTAGGGGGAAACAGCGGACTTCAGGACTTCAAGGTTTGAAAGACTTCGAAAGACTTCTAGAGACTTTAACAAGCGAGACTTCAGTAGACTTCGATAGACCTCAAAAGATTTCAGATGACTTCTAGAGACTTCAAAAGACTTCAAAAGACTACAAGAGACTTCAATGGACTTCCCAGATTTCAAAAGACTCAATATGACTTCAAAAGACTTCAAAGATTTCAAGAGATTTCAACGACTTCACAAGACTTCAAAAGACTTCATATGACTTCAAAGACTTCATGAGACTTCATGCATGAAGTCTTCATTGTTTCCTCCTTGTGACGCTAGTTGGGAGGACGAATAAGATTTAATATCATATGCGAATACCAATATTTCATTAATTTAGTGTAATCAAGAATAAATTCTCATCTTGCGTACATTGTGTGCAACATTTTTGTCTTGAATAAATCGTTCATCTTAGTGTGTGAATATATATATAGTTAAAAAATCGATTTTACTATTTATTTCAAATACAAAAACAATAAATATTTAGTATTTTGATTTGTTATTTCATCCACTAGATCTAGTCTTGTCGATTGTGTTAACGGAATAATCGCAATCGAACGACAAATAATGGACGAAAATCCATTTTGGAAAGTAAGTTTGGTCGCATTTAGACGTCATTTCATTAAATTAAATTATCTAATCGCTGGTCCAACGTACAAGACTTTATTGAATAGGTCAGTTCATTACTGATGATGTTAAAATGTCATTGCGGTTAAAATCAAGATGGGAGTGGAAGCTAGATACATATATTATTCGTACCCACACTCATATTTTTAATAGATTTTTATTCATTATTAAACAAAAAAAGACTGAAAAGTAACAAAAAGTATTTTAGTCAAGATCAATAAGAAATTTTTGGATTCGATGGTTTTCTCTATCGACAACATAAAGATTACCTCGTCGATCAAATGATAAATCTTGAGGGTTTGTAAGCTGCGTCGATTCACTTCCAGATCGCTCTGTACCAACAACAGCAATACCTTTCATAGCACCTGGCGACCAACGCGTTATGTGATGATATCTGCTATACGATAAATAAATATTACCCGTATGATCAACGATCACACCTTTGGGGTTAGACATTACATCAATGAGATCTTCGTTGAAAACGTTTCTCGGAGCAACAAGAATTCCTTCGGTCGCATTTTCCTCCCATTTCATCACACGATGATTCGTATCGTCTGCTACGTAAACTGAATGATTTTTATCAACGAAGATCTGCTTAGCTTGATTGAGTTGATTACACGCATTTCCAAATCCATTTCCACCTGCTACAACTGTACCTTGTGTATCTCCTTCTTGCCAACGTCTAACATCGTTATTCACCCAGTCAGCAATATAAAGATCTCCATTATTATCCATTGCTAAGCCCCAGCAAAAACTAGGAGATATCAATATTTCTTGATCCTGACTGTTTTGACAGGACCATTTTATCACTCAGGAATTGCCCATATCACAAATGATGAGATATGTCTTCTCTTTATCAAGAATAACATCTTCTGGAGTTTTCAATCGATATAATTCATTTCCAGATACGTTTCCACCTGCAACAATTTCACCATTGTTTGCACCAAATTTCCATCTAACAATACGATGGTTATCAGTGTCAGCAATATAAATACTATCATCATTATCATCAACATAAAAACCTTGAGGTCGATTTAATTGATTTAATTCACTTCCGGCCCCGTGTCCTCCAGCAACAGTAGTTGCACTCTGTTTCCATTTTGTATTTTTATCAATGATAACAGGAGGAAGTAATTGTTCTAAAAAATATTTCAAAAAACACATTCAATATCTTTTCTTTTCTATCGATCTAAAAATTATTTCTTAAAATTAAAATATAATGTTTCGATGTCACTACACATTGATTGCATAAAGAAAAACTACTTTTAAAAATAATCTATCTTTTATGAATTATTTTAACAAAATTATACCGCTTATTGTTTCTGTCGTTATTTCTATCTCTGTTGTTGCTGCTGTTGTTATCTCCATTGTTGATGTTTTTTCCCTCTTTGTTTTATTCATTAGGACAATAGTTGTTCCAATAACTATAATTAAAATAATGGAAAGTATGATCCAGATTAATTTTCTTTTTCCAAAATGTTCATATCTAAAATAAGAAATTCTTTTCATAATTTATTTTAATTCATCATATATACATACAGTTTTTCTAATCGTGTTGTACTAGGATTAACTACGGAGGACTATAATATTAAAAGAAAAAAGAAAATAAGATTATTTTATTTTTATTTAGTACATTACTTCATCAACTCCAATTCTGTTATTGCTGTTCATAGTTGTTTTATTCGAGCTTGAATATTTTTACAATCTAAAATCGACAAAAAACTCTTTTTCCTCAAAGATTATTCATTAATCAAAATAAAACAATGTGAAAACGATATATATTTTTCTACTTCTTATCAATTTAATAGAAATTACCGTGCATGACTTAAATAATCAGTTCAGAATATTGTAACATCTGCAACAATAACAAAATATCCTTTATCAATAAAGCTAGTTTTGAATAAAAGATAAAAAGTTAGAGAATGACGTCAAATGCTGCATAAGCTCCATTGAGAAAGAATAAAATATTTATCATTAGCAATATGTTGTATTGAACATTTTCATGGAGACTTACCTTTCAAAAATAAGTACATCTAATAACGTCTGCATATTGAAATAGAATTACTCATAACACTTAAAATTGTGAGAAACCTTCAAGTACTACTAATTATCTCTAATATGTTAGAACTGTACTAAAAAAATTCAATTTATTAAATTATAAATATTAGGTATGACTCATGATTTTATGTTATGTAATCAAATCACGATAATTTAATAATTTTTTATAAGTAATACGATTTGAATTATGATAAGAATTTGCACCACGATATGATGTACGAATTAAATAAATAATATGTGGACCACCATCACAATTCCATTCAATACAGCTTGATTTCATATTAGATAATGACGAAGATGAATTATCAAATTGCCAATCAACATATTGAAAACCAGTATAACGAAGACTATCATTCATTGTAAAAACCTGTATCATCATATAAAAGATGATCCATAACAATAGTCCAATTACTTAAATCTTTCGAATATGATAAACTTAATATATTACGTTGAGTTGGATAGGAATTTTCTGTTACAGGATTAACTAATGAAAAATATGTTTCAGTTATAGGATCATATCGAATAGTAAATTTAGTCATACCACCAGGAAATTTTATAATTGAAATAAATGAGAGTGTATTTGTTGTATGATTTAATTCTAATATAATAGCTAAATTTGATAATGGTATAGAATTAAATCTTATGATATTTAATATACGTAATTCTGATGATGATGATGATGATGATTTAGGTACTACAACAATATTTCCTTCTAAATATCCAGGATTAGTTATATTTGGAAATGATTTTGGTATCCATTCATTATTGAAAATAAGTGGTGGAGTTAAACGCCAATTATTTGGAGACATAATAGGATCATCTGTAATTGAAAAATTTGATTTCGATAAATCACAACTAATAATTACTGCTTGAAAATCAGTTGGCCAACGAGACGGTAATGGCCAATATTCAATAGTACGATACATCATTTGATTAGCAATAACAATTGGTGTTGGTCCTGTTGCAAATGATCCATGAAATAAAATAATACCATCATCATTTCCATTATAATTCCATGATACAGCATTATCACTACTACGATGAATGATTATATTAGCATTTAAATCATTATCAGTACCTATTGCATAGATCATATCATTATAAACTGCTAAAGTTGTCCAATAACTATGTTTTATATATGAAATAAATGACCATGTTTCACCATTATCATCACTAATATATACTGAAACATTTCTTGGTTGAGATTCATATCCAGGACCAAAAAAATCATGACTAGCAACTAAGCGTCCTGTTGATAAGCGAACAATAGATGGAGAACCAAGATAGATTTTTGATGGTTCATTATGATAGACAATTTCATTTAGATCAAGATTAGAATCTGGTATAAGTTTACATTCTGTTAAATGTAAAAATAACATCACATCCGTCATTAAATATATCAATTGAATAAAATACATTATTTTTATTAATGATATTACGTGTTAGCCTCTGTCTTCGAAATAAACATATTCTTACTTAAATTGAGATATGATGTTATCATTTGTTGACTTCACTCTTATTTTATCTTTGTAGATGTTTTTATTTTCTCGTCTATTTTATTGTATACATAAATAATAATTGATTCAATTTTTTATTAATCATATATTTTAATCGTGTTTAAAATAGAAAGTAAAACTATAGATAGTACTATTCAGTTTCAACCATAGTCTCTTCATTTAAGATCTTTTCAAAGAGTTCATTTTTCCATTTATCAGTTGATACAAACCAAATATTTTCAAAAGCATTACGTATAGGACCATGTGAACCCATCATCTCTGATCTGAGTACATCACGAAAGACATAACCAATATGAGTGACATCATTTCCAAATGCACCTGTACCAATTGGTCCAAGTAGAAGATAAGTATTCGATCCATCACCTATAGTATTAGCAACAGCTGCAGCTATAAATGCACGAAATTTAGCAACATTTTTTGTTATCCACTAAAATAAATTTTTCTCAAGTGAGTATATCAAAAATGCTTCTAATATTTTTTTACCTCTTCTATCGTTGTTGGATTATCATAAAGTTGAGGTGAACCAGATAAACAATAACATGCAGAAACTAACATATCAGCTTTACGATGTTCACCAGTTTTTTTATCAAAAAATCGTATATCACGTACATATGCTACTCCAAATTCAGGTATTGCATATCCACCACCCATACGTCCATATTTTAGATCAAGCAAAGATCGATAGCCATCAGAATTGAAAAGAATAATTTCCTCTTGTGCCCCTAATCAAAGAAAGATTTTTATCTCAATCATTAATATCGAATAAAAACTATACTTACATGCATGTCTTAAATATCCACCTCCAGGAGATCGTTCATTCTAAAAGATTTTAATATTATCAAGAATAGTATTTGGCAAAAAAAAGATAATTTACAGCAAAGTTGAGAACAATCAATTGAGCATCTTTAGGTGCATCAAAAACTGCTTTTTCAATGCCTTTATTCACATAGGTTATTTTGCCAGCATGATTTCGTTTTGATACAGGATATTCATACAATGCTTGTATGGCATCCGCATCAGATGGATCATGTCGAAGTAGATCATTATCATTTATCTGTTCATTCTTGATTTCAATTTCTGTTGTAGATATTGCGTCACATTGATTGTCACTCATATGATTTGAATGTTCACCTGTGATGTCCATTTTTTCCACTAATTTTTCAATTTCTCCATCTTGTATTTCATGTCCAGCTTTACACTGATTGTTTATTGTTTCATTTGATTTTTCATCATTCGTTTCATTTTCTACTATTGGTTGTTTATTCTCTTCTCCTTCTACAATTATTTGCTTACTTTCAACTTCATTTGATTTTTTATCGTTTGATTCATCGTTTGGACTGCTGTCTACTTCGGGTTTTGTTTTATCATTTTCTTCTGTTTGTTTACTATTTATTTCGTGTTTAGGACAAAGATCTTCGAGTTGTTGTGCATTCCAGTACAATTTTAATTCTTTCGGTTCCCAACCATGACTACGAAAACGAGCCATATATTCACGAGATTGCATAACATCAGGATGTAACTAAATAAATTGAAAAGATTTTATTCTATTTAGTGAAGTCAAGTAAATATCTTGTTGGATTAACTTACTCCTTCGATAGTTAACTCAAAATAAGGTTCAACAGTTTCGGCGTGAAGAGTTTGTGCAAGTTCATTATTATTTTTTTTTGCCATATTTTCATATTTTGTCTGAAGTTCTTTCCATTCCAGATTTTTTTCTACAAACCATTGTCGAACTTCTCTGGCATGTTGAATAATTTTTTCATCAATTTTATTGTTTGTATCAATATGTTTTTCGATTTCATTCACTTTATTATTTATTGCGAGTAGAAAAGCAAGTAGAGTACGTCTACTATTATGCCAATCGGTTCTCCCAGATTGTTGAATAGTTGAAACAAGAGAATTAATTAATTCTTTCGTTAAAGATTCCAATGGTACATAGACAGATAATGGATCAGGCATAGGTCTATATTTAATATTAGGTTGAATTGATACTGATAAATATGATTGTATGTCAGATGTCGCATTGTTCAAATGACTCGGATTTCGAGATTCATCTATTGACATATTGGAAAAAGGTTTCTTTCGTTGTCTAAAAAAACGGCAAAATGGTGTACACATATGCTTGTTTTTTATTAAACTCTGAAATTAGTCAATTAGTTGTCAGTATAATATTTCATTATAATGATGAAATTACGTCATTATTATTTTATTTCTGTCGTTTTTTGGTATATTTTTGCTTCTGTAATGGTTAGAACATGTGAGAAAAAAAATTCCTTTACCTTTTTCTTTTCTTTTCTTCCTTGTGTAAAATTATACTAGTCAATATACCAATCGTCGGAAGATATATATACACATATATTCATTAGTGACATCTGTGTATTTCTTGAGCTCTTCATTCTATTTATTGTATCAATTATTCAATATTTGGTCTACGTATTTTTAGTTCAATGTTAATATGACGAACAAAATATCATATTTTTAAAGAGAATTACTATGACAACAATGAGGATAATGTCATATAGAGTTTTGAATAAATGCTAAACCAGATAATTCTTATTTGGAGTGACTCATACTAATCTTTATAACTTACAATAAATTTTATTTTAGTTATTCACATAATGCATTATATTTTATAGAGATTATATTGAATTACAATAACAGATTGTATATAATAGATGATCTATCTTTTTTATTTTATTGTTAATAACAAAACCTAAGGCGATAAATGTGATATGATGAAGTTGTTGGACAACTTCGTATCACAAACTAATCCATGATATGGACGGATTAATATCGATACTATTTTACAATAGTCTGACAACTAGCGAGATATTGGCGCAATCAAATTGACCAGTATTAGAGAAATAATGACATATTCATCTTTATGTGTCAATGTTATAAATAAATATAATTGAATATTTGCGTATTAATAGTAAAGAGAAGTTTTATTTTCAATATTAAACAAAACGAAAATAATCATTTTTCTTTTTTAAAAATGGTACAAATTTCATATTTGAAATAGCATTTAAAACAATATGTCCAACTGTTTGATAATCATTTAATTCCATATATATTTGTGCACTAATTCGACAATAAAATTTCTTATCAAATTCAAACATTGGTAAAAATATATTATGTTTATTAATTAAATTTTGATATAGAATATTCATTTTATCCAATGTATCAATAATGAATGGTAATTCAATATTATTCATTGTACTAAGATATTTTTCATCGGATATTAATACTGAACTATTCCACATTTGTGCAAGTAAATTACCAGCTTGAATAGCTAATTGATGATTATAAGAAAATATTTCCGTTTCATTTGCAATTGTTTGACGAAAATCTAATGCATCTGATATAGTTAAATACGAACTATAATCTTTTGTACCAAGCCAAAAAAATTCATTTTGAAATGATTGTAAATAACCAAATGATGTTATAATTGGATGAATAAATTTTTGTAAATCTTTTTTTACATAAAGTAATGAAGAACTTCGATGCGTATATAACCATTTATGTGTATTTGTAACATAAAAATCTGGATCTAATTCTTTTAAATTAAGTTCAATACCACCTATAGCATGTGCGCCATCAACAATTGTTAAAATATTTTTTCTACGAAAGAATTTTATCATTTTTTCAATATCAAAACGAACAGCTGGTGTCGAACTAATATGATCGAAAATAATTAATTTAACATTGGATAGTTTATTTAATATTTCTTGAGTTTTCTTTAATAATAAATCTGTATTTTGAATTGTTTGATGATCAAGTTCAATTTGTATAATTTGTTCTTGTGTAAATATTTCAGTTGAAACATATTGTAAAGTTAATTTAACCATACCATATGCAATATTATAATATAGAATTGTTTCATTTGATTGAAATTTTAAAGATCTAAGAATTGAATTTATACCAGCTGATACATTTTCAAGTATAACTAAATCATCTGGATCACAATTAACATATTTACTTAATTTATTTCGTAATTTATTCATTTCATTTTGAATTTCTATACGAAACCACCGATCAGGATTATATTCAGCTTTCATTTGATATTCACGTAGTTTGTCATGAATATATTTCGGTGCTGAACCATACGAACCATGATTTATATTTATATAAGATGGATCAAGTGAAAATAGTGGTAATAATGAATGACCAAACGGATATACAAAAGAAATTATTCCAAATAATATAAGACTTGGAAAAATAAATTCTTTCATTTTATATTATTATATCAAAATAAATACGAAGACAAAAAGCAACAAGTTATAATATCTACATTATTTTCTTATCTTTAGTAGAAGTTATTTTGTAAATGCAAATGACATTTTATTTTTCTATGTAAATATTTTAAATATATTAAGGTTAGAGAACTTGACATATTATCGATAATTTAAAAAATAATTTTTTTTTCATAATATATATTTTCTTTGATCTCGTTGAGCAGTTCATGCTATTCGATGACAGCTTACTGAATAACTGATAAAAGTCGATTTAAGGTATGAATGTGGATGAGAAGAACAACATCCACGTACCTTGTGATGTAAACTAAAGTTAGATGTCGTCATGTGTACAGTGTAACTTATTGCATTTCTTTCTTGTTCTTTACAGCAGATTTACATTATACAAGGATATTTTTTCATGTGCAAACCCTTCAAGTAATATTGAAACTGAATACCTTGTTGATATTTTTTTATGAATAAGATTGTGATTTTTTTACTGGAATTTTATTTTAAAAAACGCTAAAATATTATGTAGCAAGTATAAAAATTAATGTATAAAGTAATTATTGCGAGGATATATATATATAAAAGATCGAGTAATTCAAGAAAAAAAAACTCATTTTGTTGATGCTGATTTTGGATGAGGATTTTTATCAGCAGTATGTGCTATAAGTTGTTCTTCTTTTCTTGACATTCGAAATAAGGCGAGTAATCCAATAACACCAAGAAGCATATAACCAATTCTGAAATGTTTTTTATTAGGATCTGCAACATCTCGTGGTAGTTTTATTTTCGAAGAATCTGCTGTTGTTGTTGAAGTCGAATTCATACGTGAAATATGAACTGATACTGGTAAACGAGAAAATTGACGAAGATTCATGAGTAAAGAAGACATTATTTGATTTGTTCGAAAGAGTGTATAATAAGCACGTGTGTAGACTAAATGCGGGTAAAGTATATGCTGTAGTATATATATACGATATTATACGTTCTTTTTTCTTCCTATCATGGTTCGTTGCATCTACCGTCGCCCATTTTATACTGTATTTTTTTTTTCGTTCTTTTTTTATTCGCTTATAATAGTATTAAGATACGATTATTGAGTGCACATACATATTTTATTTTTTCAGATAAAAATATCTCAACAAGTTGATGACGCAAACATACTAAGAGAATCTTTGATAAACTAATCCGAATTTACTTTATGATACAAATATTCTATCAGCATTCTGAAGGATTCTAGATATTCACGACAGATTTATATAGACATTTGTAAAAAGCATAGAATAAATTATTTTTTCAATATATACGCAATATGCTGTCAAAAGAAGCCCAATACAATTTATTATATGTACACAGTTAACGTCAGTTAAAACTCTCACAGTAAAATAAAATGCACAAAATAAATGAGACGAGCTGTTGAATTGAAAGATTTCCTTGTTTAATATGATGTAAATTATTAATTTGATCATTTTTTGGGTTTCTATTTTTTGTACTTGAGCGACATTTACATTTTAAAGTTTTCTGCCAATAATAGTAGAAAATCGTTTTGTTAATTGTGGAACTATGCGTAGACATATAGCAGGTAAAAGAAGTGGAACAAAATAGATAGAAAACAGAATAGATTCAAGTTGATGAGCAAGAAAAGATGGATCAAAATATAATTGAATAAGTTGAATTATGATTGATGGAAACCAACCAGCTATGTATAAAATAGCAATACTGATTAATTGAATAGCCATTTTTTGTTGACGTCGTTGATCTGCAGCATGTTGGATTTTTCGTTTTTGATAAATAATACGAATACAAAGTGTAATATTACTTATTGCAATGATGAAAATGGAAATTAAAAGATGAAAAATAAAATCAAATCCACTTAAATATTTGTCATAAAGTACATAACATGGTTGACCACAAGAGATTAAATTATAAGACCAATTTTGTTGACATGTTGGACTAATAACAACAGCAACGATATAAAATAATGGTATCCAACATAATATAATAATTATAGGTAAATAATGAAATATATATCGTTTCATTTGATTTTGAAAAAACTTCCATTTAAATACAATAATATGTCGTTCAATTGATGCAAATGCCATTAAACAAATACTCATAGCATTAAGAGAAAAATCATACCAAACCCAAAATGTACAAAAAGCACTTGATGCTGGTCGAAGATAGCCAGTATGAAAGATACCAATTAATATTGGTAAATCAGTTGATGTTTGTAGAAAATTAAGACATAATAATATAATAATAATGTGACAATTCAATTTTCGAGCTGCAGGAGTTATAAGAGTATGATAGAAAATGAATAATGATAAAACTAATGATACAATTAGAAATGAGAGTAAAATAATATATTTTATCGAATTTATATCTGTTTCTAAACTTGTCGAGCTGTTTATTGATAAATTTGATAAACTTCTTGATGCTAATGATAACATTCTTTGAATGAAATTAGTTCGTCTACGTACGTTTATAAAGCCGATATGTTTTCTGTTAAAAAGTATATAATAATAATAATTCATAGAGATTCACACTGAGTGACCGTACTTTTATAGTTTCAGTAAAATTAAAAGACATATAAAATAGATATTTATCTAAGTGCAGATTTTTATCTTTTATAAATAACTTTTTATTATTCTAAATAATGCCTATTGAATCATCTTTCAAAAGTATCTAAACAAAATAAAATATATTTTTTGATAGAAGTTGGTCTTTTTCCCATAATAAATAATCTATTCGTCATTCTTATCATATCAAATGTTATTTAATAGGTTCTCCGTTCTTATCATGAATATATTTCATTATAACTCACTATACAATTGTCGAGGATGGGATAAAGAAAAAAAAAGGAAATGAAAGGTCATTTTTGTTCTATTTAATCGATGAAAAAGTATAAGCACTTCATAATTCGTTCTATTTTTTTTTATAAACAATGAGGTTATTTTCATTGTTTATATCTATTATATTCATTTTGTCTCTGATTAGTTCACATAATATATTAGCAAATTCAATGGTCAACATGAAGACAAAACATTTCGAAACATCTGGTGCTAAATCGAAATTAGATATTTCTACACATTCCAATACAGATGATTACAATCAATGTCGAAATCAATCTTTATCAAATAATGGAAATAAAACAATGATAAATTGTCCATTTAATACACAATTGATTTTAAAAAAAGCTCAGAGTAAATCCAAATCATCAACTACTAGAAAACCTAATAAAGAAATAGAAACAACGACAAAAATTCCACGATGTGGAGTACGAGATGGTCCTCTTATGTATTTAGCTGAAGCTCCATGGTAAGTTTATTTTTTTATATTTCGAGATTATAAATCTTTGTTATCAATATTGCTTAGGAAAAAGAAATCTTTTACATGGAAATTGCTCGATGGATATCATCCATCATATGGTACAGGTAGAACTCGTGCACAAATTCAAGACGCATTTAATGATTGGGCTAGATATGCACCATTAACTTTTAGAGAAGTATCACAATATGACGAAGCTGATTTTGAATTGGCTTTCATTCATAGAGTTCATGATCCTATTCGTCGTTTCGACGGACCAGGAGGAACTTTAGCATATGCATATCTTCCTCCTTCAGGAATGATCCGTTTTGAAGCAGAAGAACCATGGAAAGATGAGTAAGTATCATAACTGTGATGCAAAATATAAAGTTATTTTCTGTTTAGCTATAGTAATGAGACAACTGGCTTTAATTTACATCTTGTAGCGACTCATGAGATAGGTCATGCGCTTGGACTTGGTCATTCCAATGATCCAAAATCAATAATGTTCGAACAATATCAACTCTTCCAACCACACGAACTTCTACCAAGAGATGTGAGTAATATTATTCATTTGAGTTTTATAGTAAGTTAGCTAACGATAGTTCGAACATATAGAATTTTATCTTTTAATCAAAGAACTCTCTAAATCAACTATGTATTTGATACAATAGATTATCCAAGTTTTATTTATATATAAACAGATGACTTAATGTACAATGAATTTTAGGATCGTGCTGGTATTCAAGCGCTATATAAAGACACATCTACTCCTACAATAACATATCCAACCAGTACACGTAGAAGAACATACCCAACTACTACACGTAGAAAAACATATTCAACTACTACACGTAGAAGAACATATCCAACGAGTACACGTAGAACAACAACGAGGTGGTCCACAAGATACATACCAAAATCATCATGGAGAACAGTGAGTTATTGGCCAACAACAGTATGGTGGACAACAAGATATAGTCCTACAACTACACGAAGAACAGTAAGATATAGATCCACAACAACATCGAGACCGCCATCAACATGGAGAACGGTGAATTACTGGCCAACAACAGTATGGTGGGCAACAAGATATAGTCCTGCAACTACACGAAGAACAGTAAAATATAGATCTACGACAACATCAAGAAAGACAAGATATAGAACAACAACCCAGTGGACAACTAAATACAATCCCACAGTAACAATGAGAACAGTGCGGTACAAAACTAAGACGACCTTGAAACCAACGAAGTATAAATCAACAACAATAAAAACAACGAAAAAGACAAAAACAACAACAACAGCACCTACCAGAAAAACAAAGATTACCATACCAAGAAGCAAAACAACAAAAACATCAGGAAGTACATGGAGATATACAACTAAGCGTTCAATTCGCACAACAACAACGTCGCAACCAAATAAAGAATGGGTAAGATTATGGCCAACATGGACGATATTGTATCCAAAGTCAAAAAATCATTATGTAAGATACCAATTAGGATCAACCGAAGTATCTAAAAAACAAACTATACGAACTACGATATTTAAAAAGACAAAGACAACAACAACATCAACAACTGCTAAAATACAAAAGAAGTTGATAACAACGCTACCAGCAACCAAATTAAAACTAACAACAACAACAACAACCACTAAATCAATTCCAAATAAAAGTAAGCTGATAACTGTGAGTAAATCAACAGAGAAATCAACGAAAACTACAACAATGTTGCCAATAAGAAAAATAACGACAACAATTGAGCGAATCAAGACATTATCAACAAAAACAGTTGCCGCAAGTAAAATAACAACGAAATTATTAAAACGAACATCAACAATAGCATCGGAAAAGGCAAAAATACTAACAACAAATCCAGTGATAGTAACTAAAAATAATACAAATGTATCAATAAGAAATACAAAAACAGATACAACAAGAAAAACTACAACAACAATGACAGCCAACAAAACAGCAACAAATACTTTAATGAAAACGATAACAACACAACCAACTATAATAATAGGAAAGAATGAACAGGTAGTAAATAAAGACAAATATTACAAAAACAACACGAGCAGCGGGAAGTGAAATAACAGCTGAAAGATCAACAAAAACAATTGTGTCTGAAGAGTTGAGTACGATCCAAAGGAAAATTTTATTCATAAAGCAACCACATCCAAAGACTCATTTTTTTCTTATCACTCGAATGTTAATAGACAATCTGAATGTCTTTAAAGTATAATATTACTTACAAGCAATTAAATTTTGATGAAGATCATTATACAAATATATATCAACATGAAACTTAGTAATATGACTTACATTGTAAAATCAATTGATCAATAATATAACTGCGAAACAAGATAAAACTCAGCGCTTCATTGTAAATTTGTCTGTTAAAAATAATCATGCTTCTTATTGAATAAAAGTAGAAAACAAATTTGCTCAGAGATTACCTTGAAAAACAACGATTAAAGATTAAAACAGATTTTGTACATGCTCCACATCTTGAGGGTGGATGTGTGCATCAGAGTAGAATATAGTCATAAACTACATTCGCTATCTTATATACCCGTACTCATCCGCTACATCGATTTGTCCATACGACTGTCTGTCCTAGCACCATCTGATCGAAGTCTATTTATACAATGGAAAGAGATGAATTCTAAATTTCTTGAACATTTCAGCTGATGCTCCTGTCACGAGAACACATAAAGAGTACAAAAGGGCGGTAGATTCACACCAATTTTTTTATTCAAAGACTTACTACAATTAAAATCTATTTGTATAATAATCACAATATAGAATTGATTAAATATTTATGTCATATATATATATATAAACAATAAATATGTTTACAAAACATTTAGATACATAAATACAATACATAACTATATGTCGATAGCTGAAATCAATGGTTAAATAATTTTGATGATTATAATGAAAAAATTTATATCATTTAATGATGCTTTGTTACGAATTGTCTACTTATTGTCAGAGTGGCAATTGGATGAACAGCTGCTTGTGTTTGAATTCGAAATAGTTTCTTCATTATTTGAATAAGTTCATCTCTGTACATTCGAGCTGATAAAATATATAAGAAAAATGGAGTTATAAATGTTATATAGAAAGGAATTTTGAATATAATAAATAAAAAATAAAAAATAATAGTAGATGAGAATGATATTGGTAGAATAGTCATGAAAAGTATTGTTACAAAAGGTAAACTTAATATAATTTGACTTGATACTTGAACAATTAACATTCGAGCAAGTTGTCCTTCACTTGGACGATAACGTATAGCCATTCCATGATTTTGATTTGATTTATGTATATTATATATTGTTAAAAAACCAAATAATATCATAAGAAATGGTGAAATTATAACTAATAAAATGACTTGTATAATCAAATATACTTGATTAAAAAGAACATTAGGACTACTCGTACATCCGATATTATTAGTATCATCAACATCAAAATTTGTTGCACTAGGTATCGTAGTTATTCCAGTGAATAGTATAACAATTAGTATTACCCATCGAGCAGTTTGAACATTAATAAATCTTCTTTGTCGAGGATTCAATGAACTTGAACAATATCGATCAAATGAAGCAACACTCAATATATAGCTAGATAGATGTGGACAAAAATTGAAAGCATAAGTAGTTAATTTACAGAATATATTCGAGTGTCCAGATAAATCAATTTGATAACCATCTGATAATAAATTTAATGTAATACAAATACTTGAATAAAATAGACCATTAATTGATAATATTATAAAATAAAGAGAACAACTATGACGTTTTAAATTTGGTTTTCTTAATATAATTATATTCAAACAATTAGCCAGAACACCTAGAACAATGATTGGTGGAGCAGTCCATCGTGTTACAATTCCAGCCTTGCCTATTAGTGAATAATCCATTGTTTGCTTTTTCTTGTTGTTAAATAAATAAAACTGATAGTTTCTTTTGATGTATACTTTCAGACGTTCACTTCGATAAAGTACTCAGAAGTCAAGAGACGGAACTATGTTGACATTTTAATATTCAGATAAAGATTTTTATTTTTATTGAAAAGCATAATACATAGACGCTTTTCTCTAATTGATATTTCACTACCTTGAAGAATTTTAATTTCCTGACATTTTGTAAATACTGCGTATTTGTTTATCATACGTAATAGAACTTACTCTGATTAAAAGAGCAAACATTTGAATTGTCATAGGTCAAAGTCTTCATATTGAAAGAACTTATTGCAAAAAAATTTGCCCTTCTGTACTCAATATTATTTTTAGAATGTACTTCGTAGAACAAAATCAAAGATCTTGCATTGTCTTTATCTACATTTTGCACTTGATTAGAAGGATTCTAATCTCTACTAATATACTTAACACTCATTCTCAATCTGTCTTTATAAAGATTTGTTTTTCTCTTTGTACTTTTACAAATTTAATTAAAATAAATGCTAAACAAATCAAACAATAAAAGTCAAACGTCATTTCATATCCTTTTATATTAAAGTAGACATATTAAATAATTTTCTTAGTTCATCAAACTTGTCAACAGACAGGAACTATTTTATTTGACACATGAATTAAATAATGTGAAGAGATAAAATTGAAAGACGAAGAAAGATTGACAATGGGTTGAAGTCCATAAAAGGTCACACAGTAGTATAAGTACCTGATGTCTGAGAGAAAAAGATATAACTATGTAAAAACACGATAAAGATGTCCGAATTCTAAACAATTTAATCATTTTAATAAAACAAAATTTGATTTCTTTGTATATAAAATTCTCATAGCTAGAGTGGGTGTGGGTGATTAAGTTTAGATGCATCAAATGTACCTCACATCCATACCTTTTTCGATACTATTCACAATATGATAAGTGAATATCATAAATAAATCTAATCGACTTAAATGAGATTGTATAATATTTACTGATGAAAAAAAAGAGTTTGTTTCAAAATAACTGATGATGAAGCACGTTGAGCAGCCTGTTCCACAAAATATCCATCTAAACTAACTGAATAGCTTGCATCAGGTTGATTAAAATAAAGATTATGTTTTTTTAAAAATGCTAATCGATATGCAACTGATCCTAATTCAGCAAAACCAGCCCTAAATGCCACTGGAGTACATTTTCCAGTACCATCATCAATTATTTGAAGAACTGTCAGATTTGTTTGGTTAATAAATTCTTTATAATGTGGTTTATAATGATGTGAAACAAAACCCCAAGCAATCATATCTTTTCCATCTTTCATATGAGGTAAAATTCTTTTTCCAAATATTTGAGAATAAAAGTTATCTCCATTTGTTACTACGATATATTGACATGCAGACGATGAATGGTTATTTTGTTCATAAATATAAGAAAGTGCACGATTAGTCATAACATATCCATCATCATTTCTCTGAGGTGGATCACCTAAATTAAGAAAAGTAATATAATCTTTACGCAATACAAATTTATTAAGAAAGCTGATTGTTTGTTTAAGTTGTCGAATATCTGTTCGTCTATCTGTATTGGTTACATAAATGCGAATATTGTCGAGACCGGTATGAAGTAATGCTAAGGCAAATACAGGAAAATAAGAAACTTGTGGTTCGTATATTCGGGTAATGATACAAAGAATTGGTGTCGATGAATTGATATTATAATTATATGAATAATGAAAGAAATTTGACCAATCATCTGTATTGTACAAGAGCATGAATGGTTTTTCATTTCGATTAATATTAATAAAATAAAATGAAATTAGACACAATCCTAATATAAATATTAAACTTAATAATATACTTTTCCAATGTTTTAATATCAATTCTTTTTGATTTTGCAATAAATTCAACATTTTATATGAACCAAATAGCATGATGAAGTTATTGTATTACGTTTGAAAACATCAAAAGAGTGAAAATGAATTCATCTGAAACAATATTCAGTGCAAATTTGATTAATAAATAGATGTATTCATTTCGAAGAATTTATTATGAATGCATGATATAATTTAATATTTTATTTTTTTTCATCTTCAATATAGTTTGACAACAAAGATTTAATTGTTAATGTCAAATAGTTCAATTGTTTATCTATTATACGAGAGAAAAAATTGCGAAAAATATAGTTAGACGGTATTCGAGCTTCATTAGATATCGAAATAACGATTTAATGTTTTCCACAAATTCCTCAAAATTTACGACTACTCTAGAATGGAGTCAAATTTATGTATTGTCAAAATAGCACTAATTCAATAGATGAATTCATGTCAATCAAGAATTTATGGTAATGATTTATTATTTGAATATCTAGCTGATTCAACCTCTATTATCAGCTGTAAAACAATTTTTAGAAGAAAGTGACACCTAACCTCTTTTTTTTTATTTTCGTTTTAATTATATCGAAATGTACATGAAATACAAAATCCACAGTCACAATTGTGTTTTTGCGATGTTTGAACGAGTATTTTGTGACTTTCGGTTTTCGAAATTATTACATGAAATAAAATTATACATACGTCGAGAGAAGAAAAAATTAACATTGGTAGCCATAATATAAAATATAACTATGAAACCTCTATAACAAACAAAACATTTTTTGTCGTATAGAGAATTAAATGTTCAAATTGATTTGTTTATAAAAATTTATGGCTAAATTCATCTGCGAAATGCGGTATGAAGTTTCCGATCTGAAATATTAAGAAATTGAAAATTCGTAGAAATGAGTATCATTCCTATCATCGAGTATTGAATTGATTGCATACATGCTAAGATTTTATAATGATGGTAATAGTTGGACGGATGTCATTTTTGACGGGTTACTTTTGTAACAAAACTAACAACCATATGTATACTTCGTTAAATACGTATTTTTAATGATATGTGAGAACCATTGATGTAGAATGATTAGAAACGTTAATGAGACTGACAAGATTCTTTGTCTTTTGAGTAGAAAACTAAGCGCTACTATTTTATATTTTTTTATTAAAAAAGTAACTGGCATCTTTATTTAATAGGGTGGGGGTGGGTGTAGCTCAATGACAAATATATACCCACATACATACTCTTGTTTATATTAAAACTATTCAGTTTTTTTTGCATTATTCTGAAGAAAAACAAATTATACGCGAATATTATACAAGTGTATTTTATTAAAAATAAGTCATAATAAATAAAGATATAGATACAAAAAAGTACGCCAATAAAATAAACATTTATGATTACCAGATAATATCTTAGTAATATTATATAAGTAGGTTTTCACCTACACGAGTGCTATACATGCAGGAAGTCCTTTCTTGTGAGTGGATGGGTGGGTGGGTGGGTGTGGATTTTGGTAGATTCAATACCTATACTCACATTAAATGCTATTGAAGTAATAAATATCGATTCCAGTATATTAATTAAACTAAGACAAGAAAATCCAACAGCGACTGCTCGGTCAATATTAAAATACAAATACCCTTATCCTACTTCCAACTTCAAATTGATCAATGTTGATAAAGCTCTTATGCATGCTGTTGTTCGTAAGTGTCATTTTTTCATCTTTAAAAATTATTTGCATTTATTATATAGATTATTCAAAGCAATGCCATCCAAACGATACATTAATTAACTCTTAAATACGTCGAGCACTGCCAGATTGTTTTGCTTCAATCACATTCAAGAAAAACGTTAAATCAGAGGTTTCTGGTATAGACGTAGGCAAAAACAAAGAGAACACACCCACACCCTCAAGTTAATAATATAACTAACTCACATTGTAAAACACTTCTCAAGGAGCACGGTTCTTTAGGAATGGTAATTCGTGATTTAATGAAAAATATTCCAATTAGTTCTGCTATATTTATTGGCAATTATTTTTCGTCTACGAAACTGATCAAAAAATAAACGGACTCTATATATAAAGTTACTTGTACATTATGACCAGATAGAATACTAGGATGTGCCATTTCAACAGAAAAACAATTTAATCAAAAAGAAAGAGGTTATTATGAATATTTTATATCAAACAATAATAAATGCATCGTAATTGCTTGGAAAGATACAAAACGTGTATGATTAGGTTTGAATCATCTAGATACACAACTAGAAAACAATAATACAACGTTGGGACAAAGAAAAACGATTTACAGTTGATATCAAAGCTCCACAAATAATCAAGAAATATAACAAATTTATGGGTGGAGTCGATTCATTAGATATGCTTATAGTTTTACATACAATTCCATTTAAACCTAAACGTTGGTACACTAGAACTATATGGAGAATATTTGATTTGATGGTATTTAGTTTCTGAATATCTATGAATTCTCGTCCTGGTGATGACAGTCGTGATTTAACAAGTTATGGATCTTTCAGATCATTTCAATTGTCAAGTAATGATGAAAGCGATAAGGAGAAAGAATTACCAATTAAAAAAATTCGTGAAGCCTCGTCCAGTGTAACACCCATACACGATATGATGGGTCAAACCTTTGGCCAACATTCATTTCTGCCGCTTATGCAACTCCTTGTAAGAATGAAAACTGTTCAAAGAAGACATACTGGTAATACTCAAAATGCAATATTTATTTGTGTCTCAATTCGAATAAACATGAGTAGTTCTTATTTAAGATGTGTATCTTCATTTTCTTTTTGATTTGCTCTGTATAAAAGAAAATAAAGTTATTGACATGAAAAATTTGAACCGTTAAGATCGAGTGTTCATTTCAGTTAGAGCTCATCGGGTTTACAGCTTCTTGGACCCGAACTTGAACTGTACTTTTAGAGGTCTCAGTAAATTTTTCTATTCGAAATTTGATAGTTCCTTCAAAAATACAATATATTTTTCTTATTCTCATATTCAACGAGTATTATACTATGTATTATTTAGACGATATGGTGGCGACCTCTTGCAACGATTAACATGAGGGCGTGGAAGTGATTTATTATGAACATTTATACTCTCAAGATCTGTTGTCCGCTGTAATTTATACGTTATAGAATAACTGATCTATTATTTGGTGATGAGTTTTTTCCTTCATCTACTATATATAGATTGAAAGAGTTAGATTATCAGATTCTCAATCTGATCTGATTTCAATACATTCAATTTAGAGAATCTAAAAGTTACAGCAACTCATTACACTTTATTTGTCATCATCTTTAGATAATAGATAAAATATATTTGCTGTGATATAAATAATTGTTAGAATAAAATAACGGATCATTATACAAGGCAGAATCTTGTTTAAACAATCAAACTTAAGTTTGTGAAAAGTTATACTGAATACAATAAATTTTACATTTCTGAAAATAACACAAGATACTTTTTCATTTATACTATTTTTATTTAGATATAAAAATACTTGTTGAAAATCTATATTATGGAGGGTAGGAAGAAGCAAAGATAATATTTTGTTAATATAAATGATGAATAGACACCTTTAAAAAAAGTATATTTATCAACTTTATCAGTAATAAGCTGTATATACTTTATAACAAAAATACTGTTATCATCACATAGTCTATTATTCAAAAAATATCTTCAACAACTCACAGCTTGCAAAAAAAAATAATGGTTAACTTTTATCTTATGGTTTTTTTTGACGGCGTAATGGTGTCGAGGGACTTTTTACCCACAATTCAGTTATATATAACTATATTATTTGTTAAAGAAACCAAAATTTTGCTTCTATCTTTCAGCAAACGAATATGATAAGAGAAAATTCTTAAAATAATTTATTTTGTCTTGTAGAGACAAGTATTTATATCGCTTCACAAAACCATTTTCGACTAAAGCATTCTATTTATAACACTTATTTTTGTTAATAATGTACAATAATACACACCTGTGGGTTTTTTCTGAAGCTCATTGTCCACATTGTTCGACATGCGAAAAACCAAATGGGACATATCAATGTATTGGTTGTGGTAAGATTTTTTGCTCGCGAGATACTGGTGGTCATCGACAGCTGTTGAGAAACGAGCTTCAACAATTCATCAATACGTGTGAACAATGGAATGCGAATTCGAATGAAGAATTACGTAGACGTCAGAGAATATTAAAAACAGGAAAGGATAGTCTACTTACACAAATTGATGATTGGGAAATCCGATCAATGACACTTATTAAACAAGCAGCTATCGACGCTCGAGAGCAAGCAAATAAATTATTTCAACATCACACAAATCTATTACCTAGTCGAACTACACTTGATATAACAATGTTACATCGAGCTATGGAAACTGATGGCTTTCTTGAACCACATTTGAAAAAATGGAATGCGGAATTACATCGTTTAAAAAATAAAATAAAAGAATTTAGAACAGATTTTGCTCGAATAAGATTTGTCGAACCATTTATTTCAAAACTTATCGTCGATGGAGATTTTCCACCAAATGAGCCTCCAGATTTGTCAGATGTTGATGAAATTACAAATCTTACTGAATCATTTCACCTTATCGTACCCGACTGTCGCGATTTTGATCCATATAACACAGGTGAACTGAAGACAGGAGTACATAGATTTCGTTACAGGAGCAATGGCATGTTTTTTGGCATCAAATCAAAAAATGCAAATTCAAGAAATAGTTTATGGAATACTCCTTCTACTTATGGATGGACTGGAGATGGTCTGGTTTGTCTCAATGGAAATGCTGTACGAGATTATGATAAATATGAAAATAATTTAGGTCTTGGTGACACATATTTATTGGTAGTCGATTGTGATTCTAAAATACTTAGTTTGACAAATGAACGTCTCAATAAAACGTATCATTTAGATATTGATCCATCTGTTTGTCCTTTACCATGGCAATTAAACGTTCGATTTTTAAATAATATTCATGAATAATGAACTAAGAGCCAAAAATATTAACTGTTCTTTTATATACTTTAACTCTTTCAAAATTTTATCTTTTATTTATTTTATTTTTTCTTCTATTTTATCTATTTTCATTTCACATACTAAGTTATAATAAATATTTCAGATAAATATTAAAATTTTAACATTCATTCATTCTTTATTATTTTCAATTCATATAACACGTTTTTCAGACAACTAACTCCATAAAATTAAGTTTCGAAGTTACAATGGAAGATGATTAGAATTGCATGTACAGTAGACAATATTTTTAAAACAAATAGCATAATAATAATAAACGTATTCAGTATATCAGTTTATTCTTTCTTTATCAAGGCATGTGTGTGTGTTGTTGCATTCTTATTTATTATCATTTTTTTTCCTCTTGTAACATCACCTGTGTTTCATTACAACGCAATTGCGTCGTAACTCCGATCCCACTGTAACTCATAATTGTGAATAATAAATCACACCAGTCGATAGGTGTGAGTGGGTGTCAGTATTCATTTTCTTGTACAAGAAATGACTTTGGTAAATCCATGCTCATTCACTAAAGAAAGGCAAAAAAAAATAAATTATCGATGAAATATGAGACATTATTATCAAGAAGCATCAATAAAAAAAGGAATCTTCTATCGCTATTTGCGTTTTTTTATTCCTCATGTTCATATTCTTCATTTTCAGGTCTAATATTGTAAAATCTTTTGGTGTCGTTCTTTCTTTATCGTTATTTATATAAAAACATTTTTTCCAACATAACTTACAGATGAATAAAATGATTCACATGATAGATATTGATATAGCTTATCTATCTTATTATTAGTTGGAAATTTAGATTTCAACCATTTACATTCTTGAAATATTTTTTCAAACATCCATGCAATCTATATAAACTAAGGAAGTTTGAAGATTTGTCATTTGCTTCAATAGAATAAGAGGTATGTTGAAAGAAACTGAATAATGATATAGTTATTTTAATATACGAACTCATATTTATATCTCTTTCAGATATGGCAGAAATTCTAAATGATTCACGAAACGGACAACTACATGAAGTTCGTGTCAATATACGAAAGATGATTGATAAAATACTTACACAATATTCATCGGATTTTGTTGTCTGTCGAGAACTCATTCAAAATGCGGATGATAGTCACGCAACATCCTTCCATTTGCAAATTAAATGCAATGCACCATCTTCATCATTATCAAAAGAGACAGATTTTCATGCTCAAACAATCACTGAACTTCGTATGATAAACAATGGTAAGATCTTCTCGGAAACTGATTGGCAACGTGTTGCTACTATTGCCGAAGGAAATACAGATCCTCAATCAGTTGGTCAATTTGGTGTTGGATTTTTCTCTGTATTTGCATATACCAATGAACCAATGATTAAATCTGGAAAAGAGTATATGAAATTTGTTTGGAAAGGCGATCAATTGTTATATCGACATGATAAACTATCAATTCAAGAAAAAATCAATGAAACTTCAATTATTCTTAAAATGCGAGATAAACCCACTCTATGCATCGAATAAAATTTAAATAATAGCGAAGAAACAAAGAAAGTTATGTCCACAATCAATTTAACTGAATTGAAAGCTTATTTTGCCAAAGGTAAAAGAATTTAGTAAAAAATAAAAACCAATTCTCTACTTCTGTTTTATTTTACCCTATAAATAGTTCTTTCATTCACACGACATATTATGAATCTTGTCATAACAATCAATTCATTAACTGTCTTTCATATATCTAAAAACAAATATGATAATCCATCAATTCATAATACATTTACATTTAAACCACAGTCTTCTATTAATCATATGTTACATATTGATTCATTTGTTGTTACAGAACAAGTTATTACTATTGATAATACTGCATCCATTGTTCTTGGTCATATAACTGTCGAAGCTAGTGTCAATGTTGATCAGCAATTTCATAATTATATTGAACGTATTTTGAAACGTTTACCATCTAGTATCAAAATTCAACTTTTATTCGTACCATTTAATGTGAATGACAAATTCTTTTTTTTTGTTTTTCATTTTTCTATTGTTTTTTTCTTTCTTTAGACTATTGTTAAACAACAACAACTACAGTCATCGTTAGTTGATAAGAATCTAAATAGTCAAATTCTCGAACGGATCCTCCCATTAAAATTTGTTGATAATGAAATTATTCCATCAGGATTTATATTTATTGGACTTGGAACACATCAATCGATTGGTATAGGAATGCATGTCTACAGCCATTTTATTCCAACTGTCGAACGTCAAGAACTCAATCTACAAGATCCATACATTGCCAAATGGAATAAAGAACTTCTTTCAACTGTTGGACAAATTGCTCGATGTTTCTACGATCAAACAATCAACCATAGTTCACACAATAGATCAGATAACTATTACAATGCTCTAATAATATTAACAACCTGTACATAAGATCTTAGCAATCTGTACCTAAGATCTAGTCACAGATCTTGTGTACAAGATAATCAAATTATCTGTACCTATTTTTTCAAGATCTGTTCACTTATCTGTTCCTAAGATCTTGGCCAAGATCTTGCTTACAAGATGTTCGACTAGGGAAAGTTTTCTTCATTATAATACTTCTAATGCATATATTGATTTTTTATCATTTGCTCCATCATATTTTCAAACATTAGAAACATTTTGTGATATTGCTAAAATAATAATTAATAATGAAATTAATCGATTTTTATCAACAACATTTTTTCATGCTCAAATTTTAACAAATAATTTATTTTATTCACAAATAAATTCATCAATAAATACGTTTATTCAACTAACAAAAACTGAATATCTTTATCGAATGTCTTTAAATAATGAATTACTTCATAGTAATCAGTATTTTAGTATTATGGTACTGGCCAAATGGAACATATGCTACAGTGATCGTAACGCAGGCTATGTATACTCTGAATACAAGCGGTGATAAATGTTATTGTGTTCTTGATTCAACATGTGATATAGATAATAAACTTGTTGTTAGCCTTGATGATTTGGTGGAAAATTTTTTTAAAATGGATTGGAATCTTGATAGTATACGATTCGGCTGTTCGATTATGGATTCTGTATTGAAATCATCATTGATGTGTTGGTTTGAAAAAACTTGTTTAGATCAATTACGAATAGCTGTCAATACAGCACAACTTCCAATGTTCCCTTCTATAACTCCACTTAATTCAAGATTATCTAGTCGATATTCTCCAAATACGTCAGTTGAAATAATTTTTAATGAAATTATGATTGAAAAATGGAATTTCTCTTCATCATACTCAATTTATTATGAAAAATGTAAACCTTCATCTTGTTCATTTACTTATGAAAAAAAGACTAGTATTATCAGTCTTATCGGTGGAATTAATGTTATTCTTCGATTATTTTCTCCATTAATTATTAAAATTATTTTTAAATTTATTGATAGATTAAAACATAAGAATTCATTACAAATCTCAACTATACAACAAGAAAATCATCGTGAGTTATTGATCTTGAGGGTGTGGGTGCGGGTAAAAAAAATGAATCAATATCCACACTCACACTTACCCTCAAGATGAGAGCATATTCGAAGCTATATTCTACCCATGTAAACATGAAACGCAGAATAGACGCGTATAATCGCGTTTCTCATTGAAAAACGCAGTGAGACGCGGTTAAAACTGAATTTTCCTGCGTTTAGACGCGTATGTATGAACAAACGCATACAAACGCAAAAAGGAAATAATTTCAATTTGCGTTTAGACGCGATCGTGTATATGATCGCTTTTAGACGCAGCTCAAAGAAGTTTTCAATGCGTCCGAACGCGAGGGTCAACAAAATCGCGTTTACAAGCGGTTGATTAAGTTTTTGAAATGGGTTTGCACGCAGTCGCATATGTTAACGCGTAGGTTCGCAGGTATAGAAAATCGTCGAACGCGTTTGGACGCGGCATTAAATTAAACTGCGTTTACAAGCGGTTGGTAAAGTATGTTGAAATGCGTTTACACGCAATCGCATACTTGAACGCGTCTATACGCAGTTATACAAAATATCCAAACGCATCTGAACGCGATCTTGTATAGAAGCGCACCTAGACGCAATTGTATGCATTTTTCGAACGCGGTTGAACGCGATCGTTAGTTAAAGTGCGTTTGTACGCGATCAATGAGACTTATTCAAACGCATCTCAACGCGATTTTGTATTAAATTATATCCCTACAGCAATGCAAATAATAAAAAAAGTTTATTCTACAATTTTAGCAAGCGTAGATATCATAAAATTATAAAAAGGCATACAATCTGATTTTTTATATAGTTGAATTTAGTAAGAACTAAAAGAAATTATTAGTTTAAATATTTAGTACTACATGCACGTAAGATAAAAATTCCTATGAAGATACGAACTAGCTTGTCTAAAAGCTTTATGTATGTGAATGTATCGGATGTAAAAGTTATTTTATTAGCAACTAACATAAATAGGCTAGATTCATAGTTATTCTGAAGCAATCTACACACTTCTTCTTTATTATAATAATTATATTAAAATATACTTTGATCAAAATCATCATTCAAATATGAATATCTTTGTTCAAATACGGACCAACAAAGAAAAAAAAAGAATTAAAAATATCAAAAAAATACACATGTTTCTGTTAGCTTTGAGACAAAAACATTTGTAGAAGACTATTAATTATATTCGACAGCATCTAAAGTTTCACAAAATTACAAATACCCTTCTTTATAAGTGTACAGATATATCTATCAAAACAGATTTTGGTGGAATAAAAAAAATACTGTGCGTAACGAAATTTCAAATATTTATTATTCTGTATCTGGCAAAAAGCGTAAAATTCTAACAATTGTTTTCAAATAGCGAATCTATAAACAATATTGAATGTTTCTATCATTAATTATTATTTCTATCATCAATTATTATGAATAAATAAATATCAATCTCTTCATATATTATTCTTCGATTTTAATTAAACTTTGTCGAAATAATCCCTAAATATCTAATTTAAGTGACGGATTTCAATTTTAAGCATATAGAAAAATTGTTCCTGATATTTACATTAGATGACAAAAAGAAAATAGAAAAAAAAGAAGTATATTATTTCATAAAATATAATGTTCAAATAATAAATTTTGATATATTGGCGCCATTTAAAGTTGTATAAAAATTTGCTTTATAGAAAAAGAATACAACGAAAATGGTTTGAACAAAACAAAATTTTAAAAATTTGAGAAAAAATTGTATATCAGGTTGTTTTTCATTCAAGCTAATTTTGTGTACGAAAATAGAAATATTAATACTTAAAATAAATATTTATGTCAAGACTATTGAAATAATACATGCATTCATATAATGAATTTGAGATTCACATACAGTTCATCATTCATATGACAACGATTGTCGTCACATGTGACTGAACGGTATGTATGCTTGCTTGTTAATCGCTTGTTCGCTTGTTCTATTCTCGCTTGTTCACTTGTTCTATTCTCACTTATATCATTCTAGAAAAATTAAAAAAAAATGCAATAACACTCCGTTGGCCTATAATGAGGTAAAGACCATCGTTAGGGGATATTGATGGCAACTCAGATCAAACCTGAGACGGATTGTGATGTTCTTTTTCAATTTTAAAATCCAGCCGAACGCGTCTAGACGCAGTTCTATTTATTATCACAGTTTATATTTGAACTGCGTCTAGCATCGTTTCAAATTCGAACTGCGTCGTCAGTGAAACAATTGATGCGTTTGGACGCGTTTTATTTCTAACCGCATATAAACGCATTTTCTCCTTAATCGCGTATAAACGCAGGGATTGTTTCATCCACGCTGCGTATAGACGCGTTCCTATTACTGCAATTCAGACGCGATTTGAACGCAGTTGACACGCGTTTTTATACAAAAAATATTTACATGGGTATTTTATTAATCAAATATATTTTATTTTATTTAGAAAATTTTGGAATTTGTAGTCGAGTAATGGATCGATTAAATGATAAACTTTTAATGATAAATTTATTCGATAATGAATCAAATAATATTGAAACAATTCGACTTGAACGAATATCAACAAAAATTTATTTATTAGTTTTCTCAATTTGTATATATAGTATAACAGTATATATGCTATTTTCGGATATAACTATAGATCAATCTTTTTCAAATCCTGTTGAGAATGATTATGACAATTTATTTATATCTTATTCAAAATCACTTGATTGTCCTTGTAATAAAATATCAATTACATATAAAGATTTTATAGAAATCAGTACAACATTTCATCAAATATGTTCAAGTGATTTTGTTAATATGAAGTGGATTAACTATTTATTTCATCAAGGAGATTGGTATTATTATGAACGACGTGATATTCATGCACGTGGTAGTGTATATTTTTTATTTCTTTCGAATTTATGTCAAATTTCTCAAGTAACAATTAATACTGCAATTGAACAATTTCTGAATGAAACATTTATCAATACTGAATTAATATCAGAATCTGAATTTAATATTCAAATTGAAAATATTATTTTACAATTTCAAAACGTAACTTTAACAAAATTTTCTCGAAGTTTAAAACTTCTACGTGATATAATGAATCGAAATGCTTTTGTATCTTCATATTTTTTAAATTGGTATTGGTGGAGAGACATAAATAGTAGCTTTACAACAATTCCAATTAGTCCAATAATAATGAAAAATGGATGTTCATGTGGAACACAAAGTGATTGTATTGATTCAGGAGGAATTTATCATAATTTAGACAATACTCCAAAATTTGCAATGCCTGGATGGAATATTGGATGTTCAGTTGTAGAAACATTATTATATTATATCACAACTGTTAGTTTTCAATATACTTATAGAATGAATATATCAGCTATGAATTCTTCAAGCATAAGTCGTTTTAAAACAAATACATTGATTCAAACTATATCAGATGAATTGTTTATTGAAGAATGGAAAATCAATAGTTCCTATTCATTATTTTATAGTCAATGTGCTCCGATTTATTGTTCTTATGAAACTCAAAAGGATGATTACGCCATTTATATTATATCAAAAATTTTAGGTTTATATGGAGGATTAACTGTTTCTTTACGATTTATTATTCCACTTATTACTAAAATAATATTTAATATTATGAGACGATATCGAAATAATAGAATTATTCCTAAAATAATTATTTGTTCGATAGACTATATCAATGCTTATACAAACAACCTTTGCTTATTTTCTTGCTTGGTATTTGTTTTTTTTTGCAGCATTGTTGAAATAATCTCGAAATTTTATTTGTTTTGATGTTGTTATATGCAGTTTCTTTATAAATAATTCGTTATATTGACAATAAAGAATACTAATAAAATTTAAAAATGATCTATTGATAGTTTCTACAGAATATTTTGATTTACAGATATTGTTTAAATTGTTGTTCTATCCTTTTCTCGAATGATGATACTGTGATCTAAAAATGGTGCTGATTATAGAGATATAATGAACTTGAACAAATGCAGTCATAAAAGTTGAACAGAAATTGAATCTGTATTTTTTGAGAACCGGACAACTACTCGATTTTCTCTCCAGTAATAAATAATAGCTGCATATTCAAAATATTTTACGATTTTCAGATGGAGAGTTTCCAAGCTGACTAAAATCTTAAAATTACGAAGCGTGTGGTGAATATTTGTCTTAATAATAAAATTCTTTAAATACTGAAATATTTTAGAACAATGTCGAAAACTTCAAAACACCAATCAATTCAAATTTTTCAATGCACAGATGGATGGCCGTGAATGTATCATACGTATCCTACCTACACTCTCAACTAAAATATTGGCCATCCGCGAGTATAGAACACGGTGTGGGTTTCTATACTGTATCTCTTCCACACCCACACCCTCAAGATGCTCGTATTTTTGCTATAGATGGAACTGAAGAAAAACGACGTTTTCTTTGTGAATATTATCATATTGAACATGTATTTAATAGTCGAGGTACTTGTTTTGTTAATCAAATACGTGAAATATTACCAGAAGGGTGTGGGTGTTAGATAAATGTAATACTAATACCAACACCCACACCCCACACCCATTCTTTTCTTGTATCATATATTGTCTTTCGTTCTGTTAATATAATGATTGTTTTATTTCGATATACAGAATATAAGGTTAGACAACGGTGTGGGAATGATCTGTATATCATATTCACATTCCCAAGACTATAGGTCATATTTGTAACGAAATGTATAACCTTTATCTATCTATTGTCCTCTATTTAACCTTATGACTCTTCTCTTGTCGTCTGAGTGTATGGCAAACTGCTATATATAGATATATTTTAAATAAAAAGGATAAATGTATACCTATAAATATTGACCTTCACATAGAGTCAATAGGAACGATGGAATCTTCATGCATTAAATTCAGTGATTTACCTGATGAAATCCTTATGATTATTTTCAAGAAGCTGAACAATCTTGATGTTCTTTATTCTTTACAAGGTGTCAATCAACGAATAAATAAATTTATTCAAGATCGAATTTTTACTAGTCGTTTAACATTTGTCAAATGGTTATCAGATCATTTTCTTGATCTAATTTGTTGTGATATAATATACAATCGATTTTGTTTACAAATTTTACCTGAAATTCATCATAACATCAGATGGCTTGATCTTGAATCAACATCGATGAAACATGTTTTATGTGCTGCTCGTTATCCTAATTTACATAGTCTCGGTCTTTATAATATTCACGAGAAGTCGCTTCAATATCTTTTGACTGGTATAAACAAAACTTCAATATAATTATATTCTTCTAATTTTATAGATTTATTTAGATCAAAATCTATCATCTTGTATGTTCAAAAAACAAATTAAAACACTTTTAATTACAATTGATAATAGCCGAGCAATGTTAGATACCGTTGTGAATATAGTTGATGATATTCTGACTGTTTTCATCAGTCTAAATGATTTAATATTATACGAATCATTCTATAAAAATCGTCTACGCTTATTTTTTCACAACCCACCATCATCAAGATTTCATTCATCAACTCTTCGAAAATTAAATATTAGATTACAATGTATGAGTGATTGTCTTTATCTTCTCGATGGTCGATTTGATCAACTTCAAACACTTCACGTTGATTTGATTAATCTTTGTAATTCAAAAGGGATTCAAAATGATGTTAGTTAATCTTGATCTTCTCAATTAACAAACTGAATTTTGTTTTTTTTAGAAAGATTTACCAAACTTAAAAGATTTTTCTCTATCATCGAACGTCGAAAGTGATACTTATAGTGAAAGTATTCTTCCTCTTCTCGGTCGAATGCCTAATCTCGAAGCACTGAGTTTGTATTTTGCAGTGTGTGTTAATGAAAAATTTATTGATGGAAATCATTTGATGAATGATATTATCGATTATATGCCATGGTTAAATCATTTTTCATTTTATATCCGATCAGTAATGCATCTTCGAAATCCAATCAATTTACCATCAACAAAAGATATTCAAAGTACATTTGTTAACTTTTCTAATCATACAATTATCTCGTATGTTGATTACTTTCAAAAAGCAGAACAAGGTCAATGTCATATTTATTCATATCCATCTTTTACGCCATATTATAATTCAATCTCCAATAATTTTCCAGGTGGATTATTTAAACATGTTCGTGCAATATCCTTATATGATGAACATCCTTTTGAACATGAATTTTTTCTTCAAATTGTTCACTCATTTCCATCGATGGAAAAACTGACATTGACTAATAGGGAACCACAAAATGGAAAGCAATTGAACAATAATAATAATAATAAAAATTTATCTATTATTGAATATTCGTATCTTCATGAACTTATTATTATCGATGTTCATAGTGATTATATTGAAGAATTTTTGGTAGATACGAAAACGTATTTTTCAAAGGATATTTTTCTTTCAATCAACTATGAATCATTAAAATATGTTACACATAATTTTACAAGAGATGATACTCGTATTAATTGTGCTAAAATAAATGAATTAGAATTATTTCCTGCATCACAATCTACAAATGTTTTAGGAGATTATTTTCCGAATGCAAATTTATGTTTCTTAGAACAATAACATATAAAAAAAGACAATTTCTTTGAAGATGAAAATGACTTATATCACAATATATGAAATAAATTCGTTTTGCTTAATTAAAATATACCATCTTGAGTGTGTGGGTGCGGATGTTGCTATTAAAGGCAGGGTGTTGTCAAGAAATCCGGAAAATAATAATCCGGAAAAATAAATCCGGAATGATAAATCCGGAAAAATAATAATCCGGAAAAATAATAATCCGGAAAACGAAAAATCCGGAAAAGTAAAAATCCGGAAAAAGAAAAATCTAAATAGTGGAAAATCAAGGAAAATTTTATTCGTAGTGTAATAGTGATATAAGATATAACAAGTAGAAATAATGAAGATGTGAGAGACAATTTGATAAGAAGTTTATTTCTTCGAAGCTACCAAAAGAGAGAGTCTGTCGAGAAGTTCGGCGCGATCGACGTCGCGGTTGCAGAAGCGAGTATCTAAGTTATCGATGTGTTTCTGCCTGACCAACGTCTTCGGCGCTTTCTTCTGTTGTGCTCCCGCTTTAAGCTTGAGAGATTGTTGTCGAAAGATGACTTCTACAGCTTCCAAGCAAACGAGGGTGTGGGTGAAACTGGGTCTGGGAGGATCTTACTGTCTCACACCCAAACCTACACCCACACCCTAGCTCAGTTGGTAGAGCATCCGCCTGTTACGCGATACGACCGAGGTTCGATCCCTCATCTGGTCATTTCTTTTTTTTTCCCTGTTGTCATACTATCTCGCTGAGCGGATATCGGGTATTAGATTTCCATGTTCACAAACATATTTTATTTCTTTTCCGGATTTATTTTTCCGGATTATTTTTTTTCCGGATTTTTATTTTCCAGAGTTTTTATTTTCCGGATTTTTCACTTTCCGGATTTTACTTTTCCGGATTTTTTCGATTCCGGATTTTTCTTTTCCGGATTTCTTGACATAACCAAAGGCAGAACGCATATTTACACAGTCATTCTCATATATACCATATGTAGTTTAATTCTCAATCTAATTAAATTAAATTGAAGAAAAAAACGAGAAACAAGAAAATATATTTTTTTTCTTGCACATGATCGTCGAGTGGCGGCGTGTATCAGATTTTTTTCTGATAGGTTACTCATATTTATCCACTGGTGGTATACGAAGAAAAACACAAAATATCAATCTTTTCTTGTTCTCCACTGCACATATTATATAATGTTAAACTATCAATGAAACGAAAGAATCTACTGATTATTAGCCAAGTAATATTGAATCATGGCCCCATCAGGCTTCGTTCTATTCTCTCTTCCGTTTGTAATCATGTTACTACTGTAGCGAAACATGTGAGATAAATTTTCAGATCTTATTTCTTTCATTTTTAGCACCTTCATTGTGGTTAGATATCTAAACAGTTTCATATGTGTCTATCGTAAAAGTACGAAAATTGACTGGCATTATAGATGTACATTGCGTCGCTATAAAGAAGACAATAAACTAATCATTTTTTTCAACTTTTGAGGAAATAAATCACAGATTATATTGTATTGAGTGAGAAAAGCATAGAAAAATACTTTCTTGTCTATTACCATCACATCTTTTTTGAGTATGATTAGACTTAAAATACTTGGATGAAAGTTTCATAGACGATCATGTTAAAGTACTTCCTAGAATCAGAAAACTAAGTTTGAATTTCGATAAAAGTTGCATCCAACTAATAATGTAGCGTCTTTTATAAGATTTTACATTTTACTATTTTTTTTCAAGGACTTTGAACTCTTAGAAGCCGTTCTTTTTACAAATAGTTGTTCATACTGATTCGGTAAAACCAGCATTCCACAAAATGGGTGGCATTTATTGTGCGTACTCAGATTCTGTTTTCAACCTCTGTTACATTTATTAGCATGCATTGCACACCATTTCCAACATTTTAAAAAGACCTGTTCAGTATAGCGATCACCTTTAATCGAGGATGGAAGAAAATAAGACGGATCGCTTTTTGACACTGTTTGAATTTTGAGAACAAAACTTATTGTAATGCAAATATATTCTTGTTTAGATTTTGTTTTCGTTTGACTGTATCGTGAACATGTTTATTCGTCACACATTATCATCCTCCCGTATCCGTATGAATAATTTTACTCTATTATCGAATCTTCATTGGCCTTCACGTTTTTCATCGTCATCTACACGCAGCAATAGTTCAGTTACACGTGGAAATCCATCTGATCCTCTCCTCTCTGCTTACGTGAGATGAGCTTAATGAAAAAATGGGCACCTCCTGAAACAATTACTTTTGTCAACATCGCTTCACCAACTTGAACGTGTCCCATCGATCGTCGAACAATGATGGCCAGATTTCATGTTCAAGAACGCGGTGGACTGATTGCTGATGGTGCAGAAGCATTCGCACTTCTGTGGAAACATATTCCACGAATGCAAAGACTCGGACTCTATCTGACTAACAGTCCGAAAGCATTAAATGCCTGTGAGAAATTGTATTCGAATTTATTTTTGCCCTACCTTCGACCAGTATTTCAGAAGAGTCTAAAGTGGTTGGGAGTAGAAGGAAGAAAATATACATGATATAAAATTTCCAAAGTAGTATAACTACTTACTGTCATCACAGTCTAAACTGTACTTCATATAATATATCAAGCTTCGAAGAACACAACCGTCGAATCTTTGCACAAGCAAGTATACGGAGCGGTTGGGACGGCCTATCTAAAAACATTTTGAAGAGTGTGGATAGTGATGCCAGTATTATATTAATCCACATTCACTTCCGATATATTTCTATTGTTTGAAAAGCTTTAAGCCATGCAAAGATATCTGTATAAATGAATGTATCCAATAGTCGATATAGACTTTTCTTGTCGCGACAATCAAATGCATTTAAAACATTTACTTTCTATTATATTTATGCTATCTCTTTTAAATAATTATTTAACAGAAGACAGAGACTCTTTCTACAGATTTGATTTTTTTGAAAATTTTAATAATATTTTCCAAGACGAGATTTAACAAACATAAATGAAACATCTTGAGGGTGTGGGTGTGGGCAGAGATGGAACCGGTCCGGTTTTTTGACGACCGGTACCGGTACCGGTCTAAAACTTTTAGACCGGACCGGACCGGCCGGTCTACCGGTTTGACCGGTCTAACGGTAAATACCGGTAGACCGGCAATTACCGGTAGACCGGTAAGAAACCGGTAGACCGGCAGGTACCGGTAGACCGGTAAAGACCGGTAGACCGGCAAGAAACCGGTAGACCGGTAAAAATCAGTAGTGTAAAAGTCGTTAAATCGATTCGACTTGAACGGATCTTATACTAGATTTGACTGCTAACAACGTTCAGATTTTATCCGCGTAGGGGGGTACAGATAAATTTTCGGAAAAAAAATTATTTTTCGGGAAAAAAAGTTTTTAGCAGAAAACAGGGCAGTAAGAAACCGGTAGACCGGTAAGTACCGGTAGACCGGCAAATACCGGTAGACCGGTAAGAAACCGGTAGACCGGCAAGTACCGGTAGACCGGCAGACCGGTAAATACCGGTAGAGTTACCGGTCTAAAGTTCGGACCGGTACCGGACCGGACCGGACCGGCCGGTTGCCGGTACCGGTTCCATCTCTGGGTGTGGGTAATGAATGAGATTAATACCGACACATACACCCACTCACACCCTGATATATCTCTGAGTGATAGAATCTCGTTGACATCATTCTAAATATTATCGAAAGTTATCATTAATATATACTATCAGTCACATATTATTGAAAATATAAATATATTAATTGATACATCATGATCGTTCATATTTAAAGGTGAAAATAAAAATAATAATTATCATGAGTGTTCGATTTAAGCTAATTCAATAATTAATCAAATTGAGATTCCAAGTATTATGTTAATATTGATTGAATGATCATTCGTTTATTACTAAATGTAATTATAAATTATTGGCATTTTTAGTTCCCAATATTGCTTTAATATCATTGATAGGCGATTCACCAAAGTACTTTTTCCATATATTATACAATTTTCCTGGAAATGTCTTCATGTTTTCACAATAGGTGAAGTAAATGACCATTGTCTCTCCATAATGGATTTTTCTTTTTACTTTTTGTGGTTTATTAACAATATCTTGTCTTATTTCATTGTAATTGTACCGAGTAGGGTGGGTGTGGGTGAATGTGAATGTTGATGTCTCTTCTTCATTCGTAGACACACCCAAACAAGCCCACCCAGACCCACCCTCAAGATCCACACCGTTTTAGATATTGATTTAACAGCTGCTCTATCTGAGTTCATCGATATTGTAACAAATAGGTCATATTCAGCACGACGAAGTTTCCTATAATATGATGCATCAATAATATCTTCGATTAAATTTTCATCTTTATTTGATAGCATGAAATTGTTTTATTCAAGTATAGATCTGATCTGTGGCTCAAGTTTAAGAACATGATCGGGTGTTGGATTGCTGATAAATCTATCTTTATTGACACAACTTGAGTTAATTACACAACGTGTGATCTCGGTGGAAATTTTATGGCATGATGGACAAGATATCAAAGTTTCTCTAAAAATTATTCTGTTATGCAAACTGCAAATGAGAGATCGTACATGTCTAAAATTTGTTGGAGAATTTTGAACATATAACACTTTTGACGATTTACAAAATACTTGTTATGCAACTATTTGTAAGCGAATGACGGCATTTAAGTAATGGAAGTGCAAGTGCTATTTCAGTTGATGTAAATTTACGATTTCCAAAATGTCCATCCTCATCAAGGAGTTCTTCAGCATTATTTTTGAATATTTCTTCTTTTCCTTCTAAATCACTATCAGAAACATGTTCATTTGAATCTTCATACAGATTTGAATGTAACTCTGAATCAACAAACTTTTCCTTTTCTGTGAAATCAAATAATATAGTTCCTGCAATATTCTATATTAAATATCCTTTACCATTTTCAGCTAATTCACTATTATTGTTCATTAACTTAGGATCTAGTTGTAGATTATGCATCTTAAATGATTTTCACTTAGTAACAAATAAATCGTGGACACTATCATCAGGTTGAGTCGATGAGAGTAAAGATCGAACGCGTGATCGTGGCGCCGTACTTCGTATTGGTGTGTATATATCCTCTTACTTTGTGATTATGACTATATTATGTTGTTTATTATTTGTTAATAGGTACTGAAGAAGAATGTATGGAGTTATTGAAAGTCTTGGAGAAAAACAATGAACCACGACAACTCACTGACGATGAATCGACACTCCATATCGACGATCGTGAAGAAATATCAGATAGTGAAGTTGAAAATATTGACAAGGAATATTCAACGAACAATGAAGAAAATGATCCTCTTCCAACACAACCTAGTCAATCTAATAATACTAGTGTACAAGAAAAAGAATCAGATAATATATCTATTACAGGCAAACTATAAAATATAAAGTTATGTCTACGTAATCCATATTTTTTATTATAGGTAATAAACGACGTAATCCACTTTCAAACAAATCTATAAATACAATTAATGAAAATTCACCTTCTGCAGAACGTCGTAGAAGTGACGAGGATAATGAAAGTTATCGTAGAGGTCGTATTTTAGTATTACAAGAAGAAAATAAACAATTAAAACGTAAAATGGTTGAAATAGAAAAAACATGGATGCGTAAGTGTATATAGTATATCGATTGATGATAATTGAATTTCATATATCGAATCATTGTTTAAAATATACATTTTTGAAATATAATGTAGCTATTAAAATGATTTAATTTATAATATTTGTTATCTTATTTCGTTTCAAATAAAATCCACTTTTAATATGTATTATTATTAATGATCGAGAAGACACTTTTGACCATGTATAAAATAGTTAATATAGGAAATAGAACTTGATTTCGGCATAAGAAACAAATCATTGCATAAGAGCGTACTGTTGATTAACATCATTTTTCTTTTTAGCTCGTCCTGAACCTGGTACTATCAAATATTTTTCAACAATTGTATCGATATGTTCGGGAGAAGATGTTGGTTTTGAAGAAAGTAAAGGAGATAAACTTGAAAAACATTATGACAGTCTTGGTATTAAGCGAAGAAGAACTTCAAACATGTTATGATATAAATAGTATTCGAAATACATGTCGAAAAGTTCTTGGTATTGTTTGCAAAGCAGAACTAGAAGATCCAACAGTTCTATATGGAACAATTTTAAATGGAAACCAATATCAAAAGAGACTTGCAGCCATTCGTGGTTTGTAAAATATTCTTATATTTGACAAAATGTCTTTTTCTTCTTCATAGATTATGGTAAATTAATGTGCCCTGCTGAAAGTATAAAATTTACTGATGGTGACTTAAACAACGCCATGGGTAGCGGTTTCTATAAACGAGATCATGATTTAAAATTGCAAAATGCTGAATCAAATAATACAATTAATAATGATGAAAATACTGATGAAGATGATGAATAATAATCAATATATACATTACAAAATTTATTATTAATCAAGATATTAATTAGATGAAATCATTAGACTAGAATAGTTGTTCCTCTTCATTTTTTTTTGCATATATTATATGTTTTTTTTCTATTTGTTTTGAATGAGTTCGAAAAAAAACTTGAAGATTACATATTATTTGAACACAAAGAGTTTTTTGTAATTTGTGTCCTTGTTTTTTCATTATATATTGATATTTTACTTATTTCTACACATGTTAAAATAAATGAAATTGATTATAAAATTTATTTATAATGAGTGAGAGTGTATCCATTGGAAAAGTTTGATAAAGCCATTGTCTGATAGTTTAATGTTACACTATCGAAATAAAAAAAATCGGTTGAATGCATTGCTCATTAGGACATGATTTAATTACAATGAGTCATGTGTTCTTTGTAAACTGCTCATTTTAAAAAAAGTAGAAAAAATCAACTAAAATCTACTTTAAAAAGTAGATCTTATACAGAAGAAGTATTTAAAAGTAAACAGCTCCAAGTACTTCTAAGCGATTTTTCAGTAAAAAGTGTTGTTAATTACTATGAAAAGTACTTAAAAGTGAACACTTTTAAGTGCTTCTAAACTATTTTTGTTCAAAAAGTATTGATAGTTATTATAGAAAGTATTAAAAAGTACTAACTTTTAGTGCCAATAGTACTATATAATAAAAAAGTTACTTTATACAATTTATTACCATAGAAAGTACTTAATAATACTTTTCAGGCGGCAAAGAAGCATATGAAAGTACTTAAGTGTTTATTTTTGAATACTTTTCTGTGTGAACTCTACTTTTTAAAGTACTTTTAGGTTACTTCTTCCAACCTTTTTTTTGCATGAGATGTGTATTAGAAACGAATGTTGTCTCTTTGATTATCACCTAAATATGCCAATAAACCTTAGAATATTCACCAACATATAAAAGAACTTGCTGATTTATTTAAAAAAGTTCGGCTGCCATCGACCACCACGCGAATACCACGCAGTCTACTACAGTATTCCAAGTTTGAAGCCAATGAACTACGCGTACTACTTTTGCTTGGCTATGTTATTTTTTCTAATATTCTTCCAAACAAATTTTACAATCATCTTCTTCAGTTAGTGTGTCTTCTACATCTGGCCGAAAATCGACGTATTCCCAGCCACAATATTATGATTATGCAAAATTTGGGTGAATGTTTTGTTGTTGACTTTCCTCGTTTGTATACAGAGCGACATTGTGTACAAGTTATACAACTTTCAATTTCGAAGATCGATTAGGTAGAATTATTTTAATATAGTATTTTTATACATTTTCTTTTAGGATTGTTGACACATACTTGCAAGAGCCCCAGACGACACGCACAAGAGATTATTTCAAATTTACGACTATTACAATGTGCGCATGAACATCTGAATGATCCTACAATTGATATTTCTTTCAAGCAAAACTTATTATCTATTATTAATATTAAAGAACATAAAGATAAGAATTACATTCGTGCTTATCGTAAAACACGCAAAACCAATCAGTTTGCTGAAGTTCTCTTTCCTCAATGTCAACTTATTTTTTTTAATCGATTACAGATTGGCAATCTAAAGTTATGCACTTCATCAAACGCAGCTTCCACATCCACTGATGATAGTACTATATTATTCAGAAACCACGATCATTTATCAATGGGACGCATTCAATCGATATTTACTTTAGTGCAGAGAAATATTACCTTCTTACTGGTTGATTACCCAACAGCTTTCGAAGATTTCAATTGTTTTGTTCAAGATAATGACGAGTTCAGATACTCGTCAATTCAAAGCTGTATAAAGAAGGACTTCTCTACTTGTCTCGTAGAAATTGTGAATGTTATTTAAAAATGTGTTTACTATGAACATTCTGATGGAAAGTGTCATTTCATACGCTTTCCGAACTTAGAGCAATGTTCATAAAGTAAATAACTTTCATATTTTTTTATATTTATTTAATAATTATGCTTTTCAAGAAATTTTATTTCGATGATATATAAATCAAACTGTTTCACGAGTCAGATAATATCTCTGTTTGGAATGAGTGAAAAATATCGTTATCTAATATTATATATTCTTGTTTATTTAAGAATGCAATTAACCTATGTAAAAAAAACGACTCGAAAAAAGTGACTATTAAGTACTTTGAGTAGTTGGTCTTCAACAGGATATAGTACTTATAAGTAACACTTCTGAAGTATTTTTCATACTTTCTGATCGGAAAGTACTATTAAGTACTTTTTTAAAGTCCTCAAAATTACTAACGAACTGTTCGAACTAGCCGAAGCACAGTTAAACACTTGAAACAGTAAAACAAAGTATTTCAAAGTACTATGAAAAGTGTGAAAGAATAAAAAAGTTACCTTACCTTACTTAATTGGTGGGAAAAGGACTTATAAGTGAATTTTTTTCCTTTTTTTTATGGGAAGTACAAAATACTACTAAAAAAAGTACTATGAAATACCTCGATTTACTTTGAAAATTATCAAAAATACTAAAGTTCTTAAAAAGTTTTTTTTGTGTGTGTAAGTACTATTAAGTACTTTTTTTGAAATTTCAAATCACCATGAAGTACTAGCAAAAGATTCAAAGTTGATTATAAAATACTTTCTAAAATAAATAATAGTTTTAAATACTTTTCCAATTGTCTGAAATAATAATAATTACTTCAATAAACAATAAAAAGTAACACTGTTTACGTCTGACCGGATGAAAGTACTAAAAAGTACTAATTGATATCAAAAAGTATTCCAATATAACTTAGAAAGTTCCGAAAGTATTTATAAATACTTCGTAAAACTCATAAGTATCCTAAAGTATATATCATAATAACGCAAGCGTTAAAAAGTACTGTAGGAAAGAAAATAAGTAAAAATACATACTTTTGTAAGTATACAAATTAAAATTAAGTATTATGAAAGTAACAAAGTATTTTTAACTACTTTTAAAAGTACGATGTAGTGCAAGTTTATACTTAACATAGTAGGAAAAAGTAGGAAAAGTCTAATAATTGTACTTTTTTAATATGAATAGTAATAATAAGTTTTTTTTAGATACTTTTTTTTTACATGGGATGTATATGTCAGATGTACTAAGATTAAATAAATAAGTAATTATAGTAAATTCGAGTTAATTTGAATTATGTAGACGATAATATAATTGATAACATGGTATATATCGAAGTTACATGAAAAGTACAAAAACCAATGAGTTCTCTGATTGATTTGGACATTCTCGGATTAGAGAATATATATCACTATATACATTTCGGATATATGATGATTACATGGTGAAGGAAAGTTACATTGAGGTGGACTTAATTTAGATATTACGAGATAAGATAACTTATACTAGCGTATAGATTGCAGAAATGTGAAGGATAGGAGAAAAAAATGTGATTATATAAATCTCGAGTTAGTTTGAAATATTAGTTCATAAAATCATTTATAACATCATATACATATGACATATGTATGGTAGAAGAAAAAAAGAAGTTGTAGACGTTTCGAAGGATTTTCGATTTAATTATACAATGTAATCGATAATATTCTATTCATAATAGATGTAGGATGTGTAGTACGAAAAAGAAATTATAGAAAGTTCGGGTAATTTGGATATTACGCATTCGGTAATGTGTAACATCATATATATGTATCAGATAAATTAAGAATAGGAGAGAGAAAGAAAGTATAGAAATTTCGGAGAAAATTCCGATGTAAATTAGATATTACTACACAAGATAATCTATTATATTACATTCATAGAAGATATATGATTATAATTCATAAAATTGGTTCTTTTGAATGGTCTTGTTAATTATCCTCAACTGATATTAACCGACGAAGCTGATCCATTTCTGATTCAAAACGGATTAATTCCACCACTTGTGTTACTCTCAAATGGTGGTAATGATAATTTTAACATTAACGACATTGCTTTGCAAGCATATAATGGTGAATGCTATGTTTTAAAAAGCACAGCTGCTGAATCAATCCAGATTAAATGCAAGAAACTTTGTATTTTAGGTAACTGTACATCTGAAAATACAATGCGTTTAATGAGACGCAAAAATAATTTTGAACAACCTTCACCATTTATTGAAAGATCGAATCTTGAGGGTGGGTGTGGGTGTGAGAATGGATGTAATAGCTTCGTCATACTCGCATCTACACTCACACCCTAATATAGCAAAATCTTTTCAATACTTTAATGAACCATATATGACACAATTTTTTTAAACATATAAAGAATATGCTTGTAAACCATCAGTATTTCTTCATTGCGTTTTAACAACTATCGGGTCTTTATCTGATGGAGTTCTATTGGCTGATGTGATATCACGCAGTGATATGTCAATAAATCTCATGACACATATTCTTGGTGAACCAGGTAAGAAATATATCAATATAATTAATATGTATTTAGTTATTTTAACTTTTCATACGTTCACAAAAAAGTAATTTGATTAGAGTTATTCGTCATGCATTAAGCACTTTGAAAATATTATTTTCATCAGTATTCATCAGACAAAAATACGAAAAAACTGCCAGAATGAATGACGATAGTCATGATTATTATTTACTCGTTCAAAACGGTACGAAGTTAGGACTTACAAAAAAATTAGCTACAAAAGTAAGTGGAATATCGTTTCGTTTTCTTAAAGATGAGATATTATAATCGAAGGATAAAACTGATTCACACAGAGTGAATTAAAAAAAGCCAGCTTATCTTAGTTTATTTGCCAATTAGTTCATTTTTAAAGAATATTACACATGAAATTATTTTGTCTTGCAAAACTTTCTTGTAGGAAAATGTTCATGTATTAAGTGATGATATTGATATGTTCGACAACAGCTTTGGTATTTATGAAGTCAGCGATGAAAAACCAATTGCTAGTGCAAAGTTACTTTGCCAAGGTTACGATGGATTTATGGAGAAGCTCATGAAATTGGCTCATCAATTTTTAATATTAAAACAGGTACAATTCGTTTATTAGGCACTAGTACCGGTAACAAGTTATGAACAAAATATAATTTCTGATAATTTAGCATTTCGTTTTACATATCATATTTTACCGAATCTTTCAATGAACGAACCATTGATCGATTATTTTGAAGAAACATATATTGGTAACCTATTCTTTCGAAACTAACTGATGACAAAATATTTTTCTAGGGCGACTTCGATCAAATCATACACGACGCAAACCCATGTTCGACATTGAATATTGGAGTACTTACAATCGAACAACTCGATCATCAATGCGGATGAATTATGTAGCAGAGGCCTATCATCGTCGTATCGATTCAGTCTTTCAATATGCTCATCCAACCTTGTGAATTACCTTAAAAAAACTAATTAATGAAAAAAGTAATATCGATGCTGATATATTGCAAGTAAAGGCTGGTCAACCACCAAAAAACACGAAAAAGAATCAACATTTTGTATTGAGGGTGTGGAGGGTGGGTGTGGGTGTGGGTGTGGGAGTATCTATCATCTTTATTCACACGCACACGCACACCAGCACCCACACGCACACCCACACCCACACCTACACCCACACCTACACCCACACGCACACCCACACCCACACCCACACCCACACCCACACCCACACCCACACCCACACCCACACGCACACCCACACCCACACCCACACCCACGCCCACACCCACACCTACACCCACACCCACACCCACACGCACACCTACACCCACACCCACACCCACACCCACACCCACACCCACACCAACATCCACACCTACACCCACATCCACAGCCACACCCACACCCACACCCTCAAGATTATAACTGCTGCGTACCAGAAAAAAAAATGTTTGAAGATAATGGCGATTATCATCAAGAAAGATTCTTCAAAATTGATGTTTTACACACACGACTAAAAGTCGATTAGAATTGAAATGAATGAAAATAATCTCGGCTGTGTGTATCTTTTCGAAATTATCACCCTCTTCGATTGGTCTCCCATAGTTGATACTTTCAGTTTTTTGCAAAAAAAACCCGTATATCACTGTCGTGAGTTGATTTTTTAGTAATAAATACAGGGATCTACAAACCGATTAAGATTTTCTTGAATAACAAAAGCCGATATCTGAGATGAATTAGACATGAAATAACTGACAGGCTGGTTTGACAGCTCACAATATATATCTGAACAGACAGTATTCGAATAATAAGAGTTGTTCGAAACTTATGTAATCGCCGTTATCACCCCCTTGCCATTTCTCAATCTGAAAAAAGCATAAGTACGCATCCGCTCCACCCCTATTTGTCACCTTTCTTATATAGTTTCTTTTTCCCTTTGTCCGCCATGTACATTTTTTACGGTCCTTT